TATCAATTTTTGTAGATTTACCTCCTTGTATGTCTCCTGCTGGCATTTTAGCACCACATTATTGCAAAATGAGATGTTTGCGGTGCACTTCGAAGTTAAATTACCCCGGCGTCCTGGCCAAATTTCCCATTGGCCTTTAACAATCATAGCCTCCTAACAATCCCCCTCTATAAATTGGCTTCATTACTCTGCTCTCCTCCCCACTGATTGCTGATGTGTGGTAAGCCTTCTGGCGCACTATGGCTGCCGTCGCATCATCCAGGTGGATGCTGCACATTGGTGGTGGTGGAGGGAAGTCCCCATTACCTGTAAAGTGCTTTGAGTGGACTGTCCAGAAAAGCGCTATATAAGTGTAAGCAATTATTATAATTTATTATAAATTGGAGGCATTTCCTGATTTAAGCTATGGATCAGTTGACAGACATATTGGGACTCAGTCAAAGACTTCATTAAAGATAACTCTACTCTATTTGCCTCACACTTACATAAATCTAATCTTTACAAAATTACTGAATTGGAAACCGAGTTGGTTTTTCTACAATGTGATCAACAACTCCTTTTTAAGGTCACTGCACGGGAAATGAACCTTATTATAAAATAATTAAATTCACAGTTTAGACATTGTGCTGAATTTCCTACAGTATATGTACTGTAGATCTAGGCAAAAATATTTTAATGTCAGTTGACCCAGTGAATATAATGAATATTTTGCAGATATAGTATTAATGGTCATAAGTTCAACTGAGGGGGAATTACTAAGAGATAAACTTCAATTTTCATACTTTCTATTCTTAATTATACAGTTCACACATCCACTTTGATCAGGGGTAGTGAATGAGATTTCTCCAATTTCTAAATCTATCCAGTCTTTCTCCTTCGGAGTCAGCTGTTCTAGAGGTGTCTATCTCACTGTTTGTGCGAAACAATGCACTTCAGCACATTGTAAGAGGAAATCTCCTAGCATTTGTGGCTTTCTGTTTGCTACTGATTAGGACCTTTTTTCTTGTCAAAATAAATTAGGCAATTAAGGAAGATTCATTTTTGCAGGCTGTTAATACTGCCGTTATATTCCTATTATTGCCAAAAATAAATATTACTCACTTTGTGTGAGCTATCATCTCATTTCACTTATTATCTCTGATGACAAACTATACACTAAAGTGTTGTTGTTCTATCAGGAGGATTACATGTCCAAATTAGTTCAACACAATTAAGCACATATCATCAAAGTGCATCTGGCCTCTGATCACTTTCACCATCTTCTCAACATTATACCTCCAGCTGTAGTCACAGTCTCATTCTGTGTTCTCCAAAAGAAGTCTTTTGATTGTCTGAAGTGGTCATGATTATATGGTTTTAGGATTATTTAAGCATTCATTTATGAGATTGATGTTTGCTAATTCTAGGTTGCCCACTGTCACCTACATGGTTTGTCTTGTCTTTAAAAAATCTATTGCACAGGGTCTTTATCAGTCTATTAGTTATATTTACATTCCTGTTAATAATACTCAACATAGTACAGTATATAGCTCCATGTCATTCAATTCAAAATACTTTCTTCATCTTCAAGGGGCTTGGAAATATACAGTATGTACAGTAGATAATATCTCCCACTCCCTGTTGCACATCCTATATTTAATCGTTTCAGTGATTTATATGAGAATAAAATTAATATGTTTAATTAAAATGGTCTAAGTTTGCATTACATCCATTAAGTTTTACATTTGAAAATGTAGGTCTGGTCAAATAATTCAGGTATCTGTGGTATTTTTATATACTTTTTTTACGTCATAGCAATAAACAACTTTCATTATATTTTAAACTGATATATGCTGACTCAACAGATAAACTAATTTCCCCTATTCTCTTCAATCTCACATCTTCATAATAAAAATGATTGATTAAACCTCCAACTGTATGGGTGTAACAGGTGTGAGCTCACACCTGAAGAAGGCTTCACGGCCGAAATGTGTTTTCTTTCTTCCTTTTTCAGCATGGAATAAACCTATTACTTGTTCTTTTTTAAGAATGATTGACTTTGTCTGCTCCAGGACTAGTAATTGCAATATGAGCTTCCAGGCTCTTCTTTCTGTCTATACTTGTCTCTCCATTTCTCAGTGTGTGCCTGAGGGAAGAGTTTGTCACTGCATAATCTGTTTGACCCCACTGACAAAACAGAGGTGTTGGCTGTTATTTATTTATTGCAGGACTTCATATTATCTAGAACAGGGACTAAAATGTCACAGATTATGCCATTTTCTGCGACGATATAAAGTAAAGTAGCTTGAAGCGGATCATTTCATGGTTAGGATTTCTGGAGACACAGAGCGTATCTGAGACTTTGTAAACAGTTTCATTGAAAATTGTCTCCTAGGCTCCTGTGTAAGCTATGTCCAGGAGAAGCTGTGAGGACCATTTAACACATGCTTAAGGACTGGCCAGAGGCATTTAAAATCTGGAAACAGCTGTTGTTTTCCTAATAATTTAATTGAGGTTTTTCCTTATTCGTCCTTGGTAGTTTTACTATGTATACGATGGTCATTTTGGATTCTCATAGTGGCAGAAACAAATCTGTTTGGCTTGGTTTGATTGCAGCTAAGAAGTTGCTGACAATACCTTGGAAGATTCCACACTCCCTGTCTTGGTTTCACTGGATCCTGGTCTTTCTTGCTAACATTTCTGTGGAATTGTCGACTGCTAGGGCCAATGGTGCCAGTGAAGGCAATACAATTCTAGTACTTTTTAAACCTTAAAATATAATGTATAGAATTTTCCTTCTGTACTAAAATGGCTTAGATGGAGCTAGAATGCATCCTCTCATCTCTGTCAGAACTGATACATTTCATGACTATATTAAACCTTAATGCTTGATTGTGGTCCTACATGAGCTTATTACCGACTTTTATTTAGAATCTTAGTCTCCCATTAAGTTGTCTTTTTCACAAGAGTGTCCTGAAAGGATAGCACAGTGCATGTCTACAAGCAAAACATTTCACTGGAAGAACAGATACTGGGGTTTCCAGCTATAACTATTTTCTGTTTTTTGTTGTATTAATATAGTACTACAGAAAATCTGACTTTGTAAAGTTAAGAAATTATACTTTTCTTTTTGTGATTGGTTTCTATGCTGTATTGTGTCTTGTATCAAAACAAAATTTAGCAAAAACTTATGTAGATTAATTTGTTTCCATACGTACAGTACGGTATTAGTAAACACTTTCATATAGAATTACAAACTTCTCTTCCAAAATCCGGTACTTTGGATTAATTCTAAATATTAGGTTACATTAGATTATTCCAAAAGCCCTGAACAACCACCAATCAATGAGATACTGCTGCCTTGAGGAGCAGAAGAATGAACATTTACTTTATAACAGTGCAACCTACAGGTTTGTATAGGCTGTAAAGGATTGTCAGATGTGTCCCACCATATCTATCCTTATCCTTTTGCTTGTTTTTGCCTTAAAACCTGTATTAAGGAGGAAAAGGATGGCCCAAGACCCCAGAGCAGTATAGACAGCAGATGAAGGGATTACAGTAGCTCTTCAGATGATGCAAGCAGAACCATACAGTAAATAAGGCAACAAACAAGGGAAGGAATGAGAGTCACAGTTCCTAACTGGAATTCCTGAAAGAAAGGATTCCCTTGGAGAAAATGCTTAAGGATACCAGGGTAAAGGGCTCTTATGACTCTTATAGCAATAACAGAAATATGGAGGGGATAACAGAGAACCAGCCTACACCAAAACAAGAGTGTATCATAAAAAAAATCAATGAAATGAGGGGGTGCAGAGTCTGAACCCACTTGCTGAAAATGTGGTAACTCACAAAGATTGAGCAGTTCTGCAGTTAACTGTTAACAGCTCAAGCAGACAGCTGTTAAGAGCAGTTTATGCTTTTAAGTTCACTAGAAGGACACTGAAAGTGAATCTGTCCATCTTAGGAGAAAGAGCTAGTTTCCAATAGGATATTAACACAGTCAACAGTAAATAGTAAAGGTTATTGAGGTAGCAGAGATAAAATAAGATCAGGGTTGGATTAATTTTCACATGCTGCGAGTTAAGGAAATAGGAAGAGCACAATATACCACTCCTGTATCCTTACTGGGGAGGGGCAGAAATGGGGACTCACTCATCCACCTGGTGTATTGGCAGTGCTGGTATAAATGCTCAGCCAAGTTCAAGATTCGTTCTAGAATATACAGTAAACATGATGGTTCCTGTATTCAAAGTAAGCATTGTGAATATATGACCTTCTGATGTGAAAAAGACTGCAAAAGCCATAATGACAAAGATATTTATGACATGTTTAAAGTGATAGATTGATTAAGATGACTTAGTATTAATATAAATCCTAGTTTTGGATCAGCAGTATAGAAATATAAATTGTAGACTTTTTAATCCTTTTTAACACTAGATTTGGTCTTCTGATTATAGCATGATATAATGCAGTCTTGAGTGATTGTTTCCTTTGTTTTGAGGTAATCAGTGTCTAGAAAGGTAAAATGTAATTCAGCCAAGATAAATGTAATTTGTGAAACCCTCTAATCATCTTGTTTTTTCCATGCCTTCAAATTATTATTCTCTACCTCGCAGCAAATTTGGTGCAGTGTAAATAAGCATCGTGGAAAACTTGCATGTTTTTTATACAGCAGCTCTGAAGTCTGAAGTGTTTTATAATACATTTAAATATGTAGTCACCTAGAGTAACTTTATAGAGTATTTGTTTTTTTTTTAGCTTAAGCAGTATTCCAATAGAAAGGCACAAGATATATTCCTTTGTATATCTACATAGGCCATGTGATTTAATAGCTAGGGATTACCATAGAGGATATAACTTTGTTTAAAAAATAAAAGAAACCTATATTTCCTGTTTTTTTTAAAAAACGGTTTTAAAAGTTACTCCATGTGCATCAGGGTCTGCCTTGTACCGTTTAACATCCTATTCTTGAAGCAGCTCCTTTCTAACATTGTGTCCCCCTCTCCTTGGTTCTCTTTCAGATAGCAGTTCTGTGGATGCACAGGTTTTAAATTGCTGTTACTCATCTTTCATTTAGGCTCATGTGTTTTTTTTCTGTTACCATTTTTGTCAGTGTGTTGTGTGTGACCATTTCATACACTCATCAGAAAGTGTTGCATGTCTCGTGATGTTTCTTTATGAATCTGGTTTTTGGAACATTTAAACATACGATGCATTTGTAAACAGGACAAATCCAACAATCTGTGAATTAATTCTGACATAAAATACCATTTTCAAGCTACTGTACATGGGCTGGTTCAATAAAAAGTGATATGACATTTGTGTTCCAGTAAAACCTTGCTTTACGTATTGTAGTTTCAGCTTTCTGACTGTGCTCTGAATTATTACAATGTTAAACTGTATTTCAAAATTGTATTTATATAAAGTCATATATGCTATGTTTAAGAAATCAAGATTATACAGAATTGTCTCTGCAAAGGACTGAAGTATTTTATGCTGTCTTTCACTGAATGGATATATCACTTTTTTATCAGAACACATTGTTCATGTTCAGAATACGTATCATGTGTATGTGGTACAATATTTGTAAAACATACAGTAAGCAGTCCTTACTTCCCTTGTGGGAAACTGTGGAAATACTGCCTGCTGTGTTATTAACTTAGAAATAAAATTAGTCATTTCCCCTAGTTTGCCCATAGTGAATGTCAGGCCCAAGAAGTACCTGAATAATGTTTTAAGATGTGACCTATAAATTAGTGAAGAATAGTATTAAAGTAACATTTTATTATCTCTTTGAAGGCCCGGCTAGCACACGGCAATGCTTTGGATGCATCAAAACTTTATGGGCTTCAGGCTTCTGGAGGGTAAGTTGCATATTTATTGAAATATCTATGGTAAGCAAAAATGTGGTAGTTTTGCAGGTTATTGCAAAACTGAAAAAAAAATGTAAGTGGAAAAACAGAAATCCCATGTAACTGTCCATTACATTCTGGTGTCCTCACTAAGATCTACTTTAACGTGTCTGTTGTAGACATTTTGTTACTTCCTATGGAAGACTCATATTTGTAGCCTATTTGTACATGCATATAACGTAAAGGAAAGGGGCATAGGATAAACATTTATAATATGTATGTGAGGCTGCATTTCTATGTAGATAATTGCAGATAATCTAATGATGCTCCTGTGGTATTCATAGTGTTGTACAGGTAGTCTTCACTCTGAGAAGTGAATACATAGTGATACTGATAAAACTTAGATCTGTGGTAGAAAGAGATATTGCATAAAGAATACATTGTATTGTAAAACAAAAAGGTATAGTACAGTACATCTACTATCATTGTTATAGCTCCAGGAAAGGGGGCTGTAAACATCTGTTCCTCAAGCATTTATACTCATGTTGTTATTCATAGGAAGAGATATTGGTTTATTGTGATCCAGCGGTTCCTCTAGTGTCTGTCAAATGCTCAGGGAGCCCTTTGACAACAACCTGCTCTCGAATAAAGTGCTGCGTTTTTGTAGTAGCTCTGATGGCTTATTTATTAATTTTATATAATACTGCTTGGGAGGCATTTGGAAGAATTGCAAAAAGAATAAAATACTTTACTTTAGATGCTATAAAAACAGTATACCCTATGGACATTTTAAAGGTTGAGGTGTTTTTAAATTAACCATAATTAACTTTATTTTTAAACTGTTCTTTTAGAGTCTCTATAATCTGTTCCGTATGATATTAAAGGCAAAAGTGTAAAATAAAATATTACAGAAAAACAAATTCTAATAATAATCAAAATGTATCTGGTTAAATGAACTGGCATGGATAATTCATTTCATATTTACTGTAAAGCAGATGATTTGGAAGCAGCTGCTAGGAACTGTAGATTTCCTTTTTATGATTCTTGAGCCAACTGCTCCATTAATCTGACCTTTTGTAGAGTCCATTGCTGGGGAGCAGATTGTCAATTAAAGACACCGCTCTTCAGAAATCTGAGTTTTTTTCTGTACCACCCTAGAACCCTAGACATAAACCTTCAACATCATATCCTTCAGATATAGTACAGCTTCAGTAACTCTGATATTTTCAGTTGTTTCAGTAACATATTTAATTATATTTATCTAATAATTATAAACTTTATCAGAAATGACTGATTCATTATGTAATTCAATCAAAAATGATACATCATACAGTAGTTTCCTAAATTAACATTTACGAAAATCACAAAGATATCTGCAGTCCAGTATATTCTTTTAAAATGGATTGCTATAATGCAGCTTTGATTCTTGTTCTTATGGATTTCTGATGCAGATCAAATTAAATAAATCACAAATGTACTGTTTTCCATTGCTACTGATTGTCCAGTTAAAGCTGCTTACATTTATTCTGCAGAAACATGATAAAATGTTGATGGTGGTATGGGCAGCTACAGTACCTAAAAATTCTGGTTTCATACTAAATTCCAAATGCTGTCTAGGTGTATTATGAGGTTGTCTTCAGCCCATGTTTAGCTTAGTTTTATACCTCAGTTCCCCATATGGTGCATACAGCATGAACATTTTGTGTTAGGTAAGCAATTACTTCAGTCATTGTAATAAAGCTCACTGAATTAAATTTGTGTTTGAACAACAAATGTTTAGCCACAATGTAACAGTAAGGTGCATAATCTTTAGTAAAAAATAGGATTTGAATTTGTTTAGTTCTGTGTTTCACATGATCTGGTACTAGAACATTTATTTAATTTCAATCTGTATAAATTTAAATGTCACTGTTAGATGACCCCTAAAACAAGACTAATTCTTGTTTTTTGCACGGCTACACCACCTTGCAATTATAAAGCGAGCTATGCTCCTTATTTACTTGCCAGGAGTTCTTTTCTTCTCCCAGAACCACCAGTGCATCCATACCAGACAATTACCATAGATGATATACCGTTTATTTCAGTCTATTATTCCACCCATTACACATAAAACAGTTAATTCACCAAATGCTCTTATTGACACACCAGTAAAAAGAAACCCCATGGAACCCAATGAAACCCCATGGAAAGGTTAGTCCCACAGAATTATTTTCTGGAACCAGCTCTGGTAAGTGACCTGTGACACCAATGAACAGTGTAGTCCTTCAGTGGCGCTTAGAGAGCTTCTCCTCTCCTGGCTTTCCAAAACAACATAGTTCTTTCAAGTTCCCCCTCCCCACCTTCATTTCCCCTCAGTCCAATAGCAGGTGGTGAGGGGGTGAGATGAGGGCGGAGACTTCCTCAACTGTTCCCTGGTGTCTGCATCCTCTCCTGGGACCACCTGCTGCAGTCCGTTCCACAAAACTCTTCTTCCAAAAAAGATTCACTTTCTGTTCTGACTGGGACTTTTTATCCCTTTGAAACACAAGGGCTCCTTTCGTCTTCCCCCGGGGTAATGTTTCATTGATCGATCAGTTCCTGTTCTCAGGCCTTACTCTCAAAGACAGGCCCAGTCAAACCAGTTTGCCAACCTAGTTTATGTTTCAAGAGGGCCTTTGATCAGTGCAATAACTCCAGGATTAGAGCATCAAATAGAATCGACACCAAGGTGTCACTGGCCCATCAAGGCAATTCACATCCGTACAGCCTTCCACACCAGGTTTCCAATACCCAAACTTTCCAATCTGTGACATAAACTGACAACAGGAATAGTAAAACATATTGTGTTTGTCTTTTACTAAGGAAATTAAAAATGTGACTTTCTTCAGCAGAATTAAATCTAAATTTATTGCCGGCTTTTTCACAGAAATAAAAAGGTTTAGGGAATAGGTGTGTGTTTTAGCAATACACTATGTTTATCATGGGAAATGAAGAACAATAGCAGGTTTTTAATACGGATTTACACCTTACGCCTCTGGATAGTGCTGAAACAGCTTTGCGGAAAATATACAGCTTCTAGGCAGATGAATGAGAAAGACAACTACCATGACAGGTGGTTTTATTTTGTCTCTTGAGCTGTTTCAGACATGATTGTAGCAATTTCATAAGAGGCACAAAGCCTTGAGATAATTTATATTTTTTATTATACAGTATTTTTAATTTTCTAAAATTACATACTTTTATAAAATTATAAACAAACATATTCAGGTAATTAACGAATGTGCTGTTCAGTATGTTTCAGAATTCCACTCATTATAATTTAAAACAAATGTGTTTTCAGTCTTTCAGAAATGCTTGTAGAGGTACTTTGTAAATGCACTGCTTTTAAGAAGTGTTTTTTCTGTAATGTTAATGAATGTATGGATGTTTGTGAAAGGTTTGCAGCATGTACATGCAAGATAAGCATACAGTGCTTTGTTGCTGACATTGCTATTAATAAAGATTTATTGTGTTTACCACTGATATAAACTTTAAGCAGTCACTTAAGATGAAGTAGACAAGACAAAAAGCAGTTCATTATTTTTGTTTTGCCCTCCCAATTTAGAATAGCCACGAGCTTTATACCCCGTAACCGCACACGGGGAAGAATGAGCAAGCAGGGGGAACACAGCTGCAGCAAATGGACGAGAGAGATGTCCCTTATCGACTGCTCTGCATGCCTGAAAGCCTCCATGTGGTCACAGGGGGCGCTATGTTGCTGAGAGCGAAGAGAGAATTCTGGCGGATTAATCCCACCTTTCTCTCGGTGGTGTTCAACCAATTGTGCACCATCACTGGGTGAATCCCAGTCACAGTCAGCTAGTGATATGATCCATATTTGAATCATAGAGCTCAGGCTGTGCTGGTGTAAGCACACTGAGCCACTTTGGAGGTCTCTGATATGACTGTTTTTCATGGAATGGATGTAATTGGTCATTTGCTGTGCAAAAATGTGATGTTACAAAAATGTAAGTTAGGAAAAACAGTAAGGAACAAAAAATCTGTGATTTATGTACCCAAAGAGTACCCAAAGGTTGCTCATTAAAGGTACCGCTGGCGGTTCCCAACTCGATTAAGGTGACAGTTGTAGATGCTGCATCTTTTGGATAAAGTATTAAACCAAGGACCGGGGCACATTGTGGATATTACAGATCCTGAGAGTGTGAGTGTCACAGGTACATCCGATTGATTGATTATAAAGTATGGTGTACATGGATCTGCCTCTGAACCCAAAACACATACAGTACTGTGTATCACTTAGTATCATTAGGATACATCAGTGCATTGGACTTTAAATTCAACAAATAAGATCTGTCTTCCTCTATAGCATAATGGCAATACTTATACTATTGCATAGGTGTAGGCTGTTGATCATTTCCTTTTATATTTCCATTTAGCCTCTTGAGGAAGAAAAACAACATGTACTTTAAAATGCTGTCATGAAATAATGATGTCGGACATTAGAAAATTAAATGTTGTTTGGAAATTTAATACAAGAGAATGAGATCATAGAAAAAGACTTTCCTTGTGGCTAGGGTTTAGCCAGAGCCTTATCTTTTATAAACTATTTAGCAGAAGTGACCAAGCTAGTGAATATTCCACTCAACCCAGGCGATCACAGCTTGGCCTCTACAGACACCTGCTCATTAGGATTTACTGTGGCGCAATGGGAAAATGAGCTCAGAATACTTCCGCCTCCGGATAGTACCTGACAGGAGGCTGCTAATTCCCGGTGACTGGCAAAAATACTCTGTTTTATCTTGGCAGGATTGAAACTGGGGAAATCCCTAAAGCATCCCTCACCTGGCACATTATTCAGTATCCTATCCAGGGATTTTGAGAGGAAATGTCAACTACTAGATAGCAAACTAATTGAAAGTTAAAGAAAATGTGCCCAAGTTTTTTTTTTCTAACCCATTAAATCAAACTAAAAATACCTGTTTAGTTTAGAAATCTCCCATCCTATGTGGAAGTATGGAGATCTTACACTAAATCATTCTCTTCCTAGGCCTGGCAGTATTCTTTATGGTATTGACAGTATGCCAGATTTACGGCGAAAGAGGACGATGCCTATTGTTCGAGACCTGGTGAGTTATCCTCTTCAATGAGAATGTTTTGATTTATTTTTAAATCGACCTCCCCTATGTGTATATACTGTACTGTAAAACATATGGGATTTTAATCTTGCCTGCAACAAATCTCTATGTTTCTCTATAAAATCAGTCTAACAAAACTAAATTCCCTTTTCATTTTCAATCACCGTAACCAAATAACATACATAACATAGTACATTGGATAATTATGGTGCCCTAGAAAGCACATGGGGAATTAATTATTACTGGAACATTATACCATTGATAGGCTGCAATAGAATGCAGTTCCTTTGTACAGCATGCTGTACTGACACCATAATAAATTCACTGTAGCAGAACTGAATTTATTTTTTTTGTTCAGTTCTAGTCAATGGGACATTCTCACATTTAAATGAGTTACTAATAACAATTACCTAAATAATTTTGGGAGAAAGTGTCTACTGTATATACGGTATGTCTATTAAAGCTGCTGGTGATAACATGATAACAGCGGAGAGCAACCAAACGGCACAGGGTTTGTATGACTTAAACTGGACTTAAAGTGATAGCTCTTATTGTCTATGTGAAAAGAGTTACTGTCGCTATAAAAAGGAATTCTGCAGTTTTTGTTATAAATGTCACCTCTGTGCCCACAGCTTATTTGTGCATACAGGTTATTCTTTATTATTTTCAAGATCATTTCAAGCTTATTGTGTTGTAAATGTATATGTGGTTAACAGGGTACCAATTAGTAGTTTAGAAAAGCTACATGCTTGTAAGCCTTATTAATGCAGATAAATGTACTGTGCAGTAGCTCTGTCATTATAATTCCAAAATTGGTCATTTTAACATAAAGCTTCTTAAATTACTACAACTTAATATTAAAATATTAATTATTTAATTTTCAATTAAAATATCAAAAATATATATCCATCATATAATATTGTATTACTTATAACTTAGTTCATAAATCACTTAAATGCAGTATCTTCATATACAGTAGTGTACATACGGTATAAACTGATTGTTGATTAATGCTTACACCATACTCAGAAATCTGTATAAGGGCAAAAGTTGACGCTGTATTTGTCCATATCTCTCATGAAATTAAAAACGAACATTTCCTGGTAAGTATGTGTTGTTGTTTTTTCTTTTCCTTTTTTAATTTTCCTTTTTCGTTTTTGCGGATGTGTTCATCATTTGAACATACCCATGCCTACTATGGGTGATATTTTTCAGTGAGTTGTCAGGGTTCCAATCCTCCCGCAGTTTGGTCTTTTTCTCTGCTCAGTAGGATTTTTACGAGTGAAGCTTGAAATTTTGACAACTCAGCCCAAAAATATATACGAGGACTTCATTGAATTTTGAGTAAGAGTGCCCAGGCTTCTAAACCATATAAAGGTGATGCAAAAGTAAGCCTTTTACACCCCAGATGAAGTCATTACCTATAATGGGTTAGATCTGGAAATGTTTGTTTATCTGTTCGAAGTTTTCTGAGAATGTGGCAATTGGCAGAACAGTTGCTTCTTTGCAGTAACCATTGATATAAAAACTGGAGTTAAACTGATGGGAGGTGAGGGTGGGGTGAGGGGTGCAAAAATATATACAAACAATTCATTAGAGTTGAATATCTATTAAAATGCAGGTTCTTGAACTTTGAATCCAAATGATACTTGACTTCAGCCTGAGCCTGTAATGTCTGCACCCACCTCAATATATCTTATGCATGTTCAGTAACTGTACATTAATGCTCTTCAGTTCATAAAGAGTTCACTTTTCCACCACATACATTCTGTCCATTAGATTAATACAGCTTCCCATGGAACTTTACCATAATTTGGCTGTTAGATAAGGAAGTAAAGTAAGGAAACATTTAATATTGTCAGCTGTCAATGTCTGCATTCAATTCAGTCCAGTCCACTGATGTGCAACAGTTTTTTTTTCTCACCACTTGGGCAGACAGATTAAAATGTGCACTTAATAATATGACATAGCAATGTGGTACTTGCTGCTCAAGAACTAACATTTTATTTTACCAGTGCAGTACAGACAGCAGAAATATTAGAAATTTATCACGTACTATAAAAATGGCAAAGCATGAACTGACATTTTCTTGTGCATGCATAAATAATTGTTAATTGACTGTTTCTCAGATGAGTAAATAGCAGCTCCATGCCCTTCACTCAGCTCCTTTCCTGAGAAATGATCATGTTTCCTGCATGGCATCAAAATTACCTCTGCACTAAATACTCATAAACTCTGTGTCCACTAGATTAATTACTGTAATTCTGGCCTTTGTTAATTTTCTGACCTTAATGAAATTATTTAATCCTGTATTTTCCTTTCACCATGCTGCTGGATACCATAGGCTTTGGTGAGTATCTTTTCCCTGTTAAATGAATATATTAGAGCATATTTCTTTTTATGCAATCTCATTTGTTATATTTCTCTATAGCCCATTTTGTAAGAAATACTGTGGCAGTAACACTCATCCCTTTGACATCTAAATGCTCCCCTAAAATTCATATCTCAGAATGTAAGTGAAATTCTCTACCTTGAATAAGAAAAAAAAAAGACTGAAATCAAATAAAATGAAATTCTGCAGGGCTAAGCTGATTTTTGATCTTTATAGAATATTAGTCTCGGCTGTCAATTTGTTTCTTAAATAAATACTGGAATTTAAAATGTTCTTGGGACATTTCAAGGTTCTGCCCTGCTCTGGTAACAGAATTATACTTTTATAGGGGAATAATGACCTTAACAGACACTGGGGGGTTAGTGGTTTGGAAGCTTGAAATAATCATGGACACAGTGTTCACAATGCAGGTTGTTATTTGCGTATTTCCTGTTTTTTTTATAACTGCTGTATTGACTTTAGTTAATTGAACCATTCCTTAAAGAATCCAAGATACATTAAACCATATACTGTACATGTGTGAAATGGTACATCTTAATAATCTTTTCTATGGTTTGCAGCTTTACAGACATGTCCTAAAACCTGTCTTGACTACTATTGTATAATGTAGTTGCAGCCCTTTAGAAAACGGTAAAGTAAACTGACCAGAAAAAGGAAATTGAGTTACACGTTTTTAAAGAATCTAGTCATTGAAAGATTTATGAAAAGTATGAACAACAAGGCAGGTTTAGCTTAGCAGTGAGATAGTGCTCATGACACTGCTTCTGTGTCTTAATTCCAGAACATGTATGGTCCCACAACAGAGATATTAACACATCCACGTAACATCCAAATCATAACCAAATGTATTTGGGGTACTATATTGTTTTGTGAGTTTTGACAACCTCAAAGTTGGTACTTACGTAGTATTAAGATGTCTGAAGAGCATTCCACTGTTCAAAAGGCAGTAAATAGCACTGTATGTTTTGTTTTCAAGAGATTCAAGAGATTTTAATTCTAGCTACACTCAGGCTAACATAACTAGTTGTTTGTGTGGTATTACTGTACACCCCCCTATTGTAGGTGACTTCCAACCATTTTTACCATCACCTTTAATAATAGCATACATTCAGTCTGAGTCAGGTTTGCTTAATATTACTTTGTATTGGACATCACAGGACCTTTGCCCTGCATCTGCCGTGCACCAATACTTGCTTCAATTACTCATTTGACCACACACAGTTTTCTTTAAAAGCTAACTTAAAAATACTCAACCTGCTACCTTCATCAAATCTGTGAAATGATAAAAAAAACAATTAAAATAAGAATTTCTGTAATGTCAGTTCTCCATAATTGTTCTTGGAGTGCTTTCGCAGTTCTGGTTGGGTAGTGAATAAGGACTGTTTATCTGTTTACAGACTTTGGCTGCTCGAAAGGCAGGCATATCATTTGCCCTTGTGACCAGATCTACCTTAAACAATGAAGACCTGGTGAGTGTTTATGCATTATATACTGTACCATTCCAATATGAATCACCCACAAATCAGCAAGTTTATTGCTAACAGGAAGCAACACTGTGTAACTAATGAAATGTTCTACGCATAAATGCATACTACAGACTGCTATTGTATGGGTGAAAAAAAATAAAAATAAGACAAATTCAAAGTGACTGATGTTAAACCCATAGCCTGAGACTGAAAGTATCTTATGTGATATGTATACGGTAAAATACAAGTGCACTATACAACATACATGTATAAACTGTGTGGGGAACCATTTCTTCAGTACTGATTGAACGCATTAACAAGGTATAGCCTAAATATACTGTAAATGGTCAAACTAAGCTGGTAAAATGGTTAAACTGGTAAAACTGTGCGATTTGTATATTAATTATTGTATCAAATGATGTATTACGTATTAGCCATATAGCCCTTTGTTTTAAAAGCTGGAAGCAATAGTTGTCAGCTGATATCTGTTATCATCTAATTTGCTTCCTATGCTTTTCAGTTTTGTTTAGCGTTTTTTTTACTTGGTTTAATCTCAGCCTGAATACATTTTTCTTTATGTTATATGTACAGTATACAGGCTTAGAGTGTAGTAATAAATTTCAGGAAGCTAAAGGCCTTAATCAATGAAGTGTGCCTTCCTGTTCTATGTCCTCCAGAAGAACTTGCCTTAATTAATTCTAATCCCCTTTCCCAATCTTAATAAAATACAGAGTTTAATGAATTACAGATAACCCCATAATACATTTTTTAGAACAAGATGTTCTGAGGCTCTTTCAATGAAGGAAACCCTGTCTTTTCTAAAAAGAAACAGTATATGGCAAACTAATGTGATATTTGTATTTTTTTATTTTTAAGCTTTTATCTGCTCTTACCCACTGATTTGTTGTGTGTACATGAAATCCCTACACGAACAGCCATTCTCTTGTTGAAGATTAAGTTTGTAGAAAAAATAAAAACTGAGAAATTCTCATTGTATTTTTGTGCTTGTTTGTCTGGAATGCTTGAGCCCTCAATCTGTATTTCCATCTGATGCAATACTACTATAGCTCCCTTTGCTTGTCTATAATGCTTGTGCTAGCGTTTGCAGGATTAAAGCAAAGTAGAGTGGACCATATTAATGGATTATATAAAAAATAAATTATATACCGTAGCTTGCCCTCTTTTGCTGGAAAACATACTTTTGTTGCTGTTGCAGTCTTTGATTTTGTTTTTTGTGGTTGTTAGTGATATGTAGTATCAATTAGTTGATACTTCATTTAGTTAATTAGTTAATGGAGAGGCTTTAAACCGTAGATGCAGTATATGCGGGTATTGAAGTTGATGGTACTTAAAAAAAACAAGGTCCCAAACAAGCAAAGATGTTGGCAGATCTTGTAGCCAGTATGGATGATGATGGCACTCTATTACAATTTGAAGTAGCATTTAAATGTGACTTTAGGACAACCAGATGTCAACATGTTATTCACTGCATTAAGTACAGAACACAGCATCCCTGCAAGGAATTCCTATCCAACATGTTCAAACAAATTGAGCCATATGTTAAATATGTTAATAGTTTAGAGTGACATATCCACATTGAGCCCAATGTGAGCCACAGTAATCTCCCATAGAAAAAAAGATCACATAATTAATGAGGAAAACTAAGTACAGGAATATCAGTGTTGGCAAGATACTGCAAGTAGATCATAAGCGCTCAAGATTTACAGTAGATATACTGCACCTGTGCTTTCTGATATGCTAAGTACTGTATGCTGTCCAAAATGCAATTTTCAGTGTTATCTAAGTCAATTTGACAAATTATAATTTAACATGTCATTCTGAGATTGCTTATAAATACTATTAGTTTATTTTTGCAATATTAATACTGGTACAGCTGTACAACTGGATTCTGTAGTGTACTGTATACAGTATGTGTATAATCTTTGCAGTAAAAGACTAGTTAACAATGAATTCACCTCTTGTGTACTTGTTTACTGTACATCTGTTGTGGATTATCCTCAGCTTGTATTATTTTTCTTCTTCAACCTTTAATATACAATTTATGCTCCTTAGTAACAGGAAAGTCTGCTTTGATTTTTTTTATGTATCTAGTTCTGTTAGTTGAAAGGCATCATAGACTCCTCATTGTTATTGCCACAATAAAAAAAAAAAATTCTTAAGCTTCTACAAGGCACTGGTGTTTTATTACCCTCACTAAATTGTGATTAAGTACATTTCGTTGTCCATACTGAATTCTAAATGTTTTTATTGTCTTGGTCCACGAAGAAGCACGACTACTGAGACAGCTGTGTTATAGGTGTGTATTACAACACCTAATAGTACAACTATAGAAAAAAATGTTTACATTCAATTACTAAAATAAAAATTAAACTCATACCGAGTCCTAAACACTTACTCAAAGTCCGCACTTCTGTGACGTAGCGCAAGTGTGGACTCCAAGCGCGCGAATATTAAAAAAGTTTTTAAAAATAAAAACCAGCACTCGCTGGTTACAAGGCTTAGGGTCAAAATGCTGTCAGTGATTGAATCTTTTTTTCCCAGTAGCTAACTGCATGCTGGCATATATATACTGTACTGTATATATTTTTAAGAATGTTTCATTCTCCGCTCGCAGTTTGATGAAATTGAACTTCATCTCATCTGTCCTTGCACAGAAGTAGTGAAACATCGTGTTAACTCATTTTTCAGAAGGCTCGACTCAAAACTGTTAGATAGAAAACTATCTGTTTATTTAAAGGTTTGTACTACTAAATGCATTTCATGTCGTCTGTCCCAGTACAACCCCGACAGCAGGAGGAACATAACGTGTTCATTCACGTTCATTCAAAGTAAACTAAACAAGGTAAACTTGGCAATACCTCAAGCTTTGTACTATTAAATACATGTGCTATTAAATATTCCGTGTACAAAATACACGGCAGGTAAATGAATATTCACCAGTCAAAAGAGGTGACGAAATAAAAGCTTTATGTCAAAACTTCGTACCAAAAATACAGTACATACAGTATGAATCTAAAATATTATATAAGTAAAATATTACGAGTTTTAAAACTTTAAGAAAGTTAAATTTTACTAATACCGTACTTGAATATTTTATTCCCCATGGCGACTTCTCTCCGATTTGATAAACTAGAACATGAAACGTCACAACTCTGCGAGGAACTGGGGGGTAATTCCCTTCAGCTAAGTCTGCCCCGATGCGGACCTCAGAGAGGGCTGTATGAGGGGTGCATTGGGGGCTCTCGGAGCACCCTTGTGAACACGAATTTAGAAATGGAACATCCATGCAGACTTGAGCGAGAACGCGCAAATGAAGGGAGCATACCGCAAGTGTGCATATTGGTACACGGCCATGGTCTCACTGTATTTTTGGTATCCATCAGTTTTTGTAAGTACAGCAGATCAGTCATTTATGTATGAGGTACAGGACACGACTCTCTGACATTTACTTCAGTTGTTAAGAATAAAATCCGTAACTGGAACTGAAGCTGTCAAGCCACCTGGGGAAAATGTACCAGGTTCTGTACTGCGCCCTTGTCTCGCTTAATGTTTTTTATTAGTTTTTAATAAAAACATTTCTCTCGTGGCCGTGTGCTCTATTGACAGAGCTTGCAAATTTAAATAAATGTAATTTGTGAAAATGCCAGTTTCTCTCACAACGCAATGGAAGCTTTTATTTACACATGTTTTTGTCTTGGATACAGTATGTACGTGTTGGGGGCAGTAAACAAAAAATAATTATGGCTGTATTGATATTTTACAGTTCATTTTCAGATTAAATATTGATGAACTTCACTGGATATGTGCAGATCAAATTTGGCTGCTGCATGGTTACCGTTATTGTTTTGTTTTCTGGTAAATGTTAGATGTGACCTGAAAATGTTCTAGGTATGAAAGGTTTTTCTTTTGTCTGACTATCTGTGTAGGGAGTTGAAATATGCTGCAGCCTCTTGAGAGTTTGTGTTAACCTTCACTTCTTACTGCAGATACAAAATGGCTCAGTTCCCTTTAATCTGTTGGAGAGAGCTCCTCACTGGGGCAATTTGCTGAACTATGAAGTTAGCGGATAACACATTGACATCTGGTTTGTCTAAATTCCCTTGGATTAAGAAGGGAGTCATTTTAAATCTTTGTGCTTATTGGGTGATTCATTCAATTATGTCACTGGCTGCACTGTAACAATTTGGCAGTGGATCGGATGCCTTCTGCCTCTCTGAAGCATTTGCTGTTTGTGTTTTTATTTACTAACAAGAAACAAATCACACCCCCACAAGCATTAATCTACACAAAGTGCAGTCCCACATCTACTGGTGCCTATTAAGACTTTGTATATTACTTTACAAGGCATGATAACAGAGAGCAGTTTATAACATTAATATATTCTGGTAATACTATTTATAAATCTTATGATAAATGCTGTATACTTATTTACAGTGCCACTATGTTCCACTAAGTGTTTCACCAATGGCTCGTGTTATTATTTGGTTTTACTATACATCTGTTTATATACTGTATGCCTTGTTAATGAGACTCCTCTTCATATTTGCCCTAAGGCTTAAACGTACTGTACTGTATTTCACAAACTCTGGTTTTGATTAGGTATACAGTATATAGTGTATCTACTGTAGTATATACATTATACAGTACTGTACATCTCTTAAGAACTGCTTCTGCCAATACCCCATTAGAATTTAAACTAATAAACCTTAATAGGTACATCATTTCATCCACTGGAAATAGGTATCGCTATTGTTAAAGCAGTTTAAGGGACTAAATTAAATTCTGTGGTCTTCATTGAGTCAAAAGGAAAATATTGGAGGGTAGGCATTATGGGACGTGAAAGTGAAAAAAGAAAACATAACAATCCATATACTGTAGAGTAAATGAGATTCTAAAAGTTTCAAGTTCACATAGACTTGAACAAGTATTCAAGCATTTTACAGCATTTTACTTATATACAGTATCATCGTGGTGGTATTTGGAGACACTTATTATTAAAGTTCTTTTCTTTCTGTTTCAACTTGTAGTAAAATAATTTCAAATGCTGTTCCTATCTTCAATGTAAAGAGCCAGAGAGAGCGGATTGAAATCTCTGAAAAGTTTATTTTTCCTGGGAAAAGACCATTTTATGTAGCTTATGTCTTGGAAAATAGGATCTCTGTATACCACCAATAAAGAGCTATACCCTTGCACTGCCTTGTACAGTACTTGTACAACCACATGATATTGTGTGGAAGAAGGTAACATTCTTCATTTAATCTTCTCTTATTTCAGAAACTGCACGTCTTCAAGAAAACATTGCAAGCCTTAATTTATCCAATTTCATCAACCACACCTCACAACTTTGAAGTCTGGACAGCAACAACTCCCACCTACTGCTATGAATGTGAGGGCCTACTGTGGGGAATTGCCAGGCAGGGTATGCGCTGCACCGAATGTGGTGTCAAATGTCACGAAAAATGCCAGGATCTCCTAAATGCTGACTGTTTACAGCGTGAGTATTTTATGTAATCTTGCTTCTGGCTTGTTGCAAACTGGTCTGTCACCTGTTCAAAGAGGAATGTGAAGAGCTGTCCTCTATTTACATATACAGCTAAATATAGCTGGTCTATAAGGAATCCAAAAGCATGCTAACAAGAGTTCATGCATTGTAAGTGTCATTTTTACTGCAGTCTAAGTGGCACAGAAATGGTTTGTTAGAGACCATTTGTCAGGAAGTCGGATTTGTAAGGGAATATGTCACAGAGCACTCTGCCGGAAAAGACACAGCTGCAGCTGAATCTGACCTTTTCAATAGAATTTCATCAAGATTCTGAAGATCCATTTTATTTTGATCTGCATAAAGTAATAAAATGAATTAGATGCTTTATATACAATTATTCACATTGCAAGAGCACCATTCAAGCACATTCAAGAACTTGCTGCAACAAGATGTTCTCTATTTTGTTTGCAGAAAACCTTTAACCCTAGTCCATACTGATTTTTGCCTCTATTATAGCATATTTATTATTGATTTATACATCATAGGTTGTATGTTTTTACCTAAACTCATCAAGAATGTATATTTCTTTAAACAATTGTTTATCATACAGTACACCATGATCTGTGATTAAAAAATATAAGTAATAGTAGTTTCTATTTTGTACTGTTATAGCCTAGTAGTTTCTACATATAGTACAGTGTCTACATATATCTGTGTCTTATTTCAAAATAGTAATGTTAATTTATTGGGTACTCTGTCCTAAAAGTTAATGGTGCTGACATTATGTTAAAAGCGATATAGCAAATATTTTAAAAGTTTTGTGCTTGTCTTATACGTGATTCCAATACATGAAATAGCTTGAGTTCAGACACTGGTCTAGTTTCTCAAGGTATTTTGTTGGTTAAGAGTTTGTGATAGAAAAAATAATGCTGGAATCTCACTCTTAGTATATCCATAAATCAACTGTTATTATGACACTATGAATTCCTGTTATTTTTTCTGTACTTTGCAAATGGTGGTTCTACTATTTTTCTTTCTGCTACAGTCTATACAGATGCAAAAATTTAAATAAAAACAATAGACTTTTGCTGGGTAGGTCAAGCAGTGGAATTCTGGTAGTCGATTATTCATTGAGGGATAAGTGGAGGCTGCTACTTTAATATTACTTATGGAACCCAAGTGTTTTTTTTTATTGCTGTGATGCATCTTTTTCCTTCTTTACTGAGTTTCTTGTTTGAAGTACACTTGAGAGATACAGTAGGCTGTTAAAGGGAGCTCTAGAATAAATGAGAAGAGGTAATTAGTTCTGCATTGAGATGTTTCTCTGATAGAATAAAACGATTTAGTTCTATATCAAAAGAAGGATCTTTTTACCTATATCATTTGGGAAATAAAAGAAATCACTGGTTTTGTATAAAATAATTGAACATTAGCTTCCGAGTTATCTGAAGGGCCTGGAACCAGATGCTAAAATGTTGGTTATTTTTTCACATGCTTAAAACTTTTTTTGTGCTAAACACTCTTGTATATAAGTCTGTTTCAGGCACAGGCCCAAAGCACTACTTCACCCTGGATGGGAATACCGGTCCTTTACAGGGAATGCACACACATTTGATCATACATGCATACTAAGGACTATTTAGAATACTAATTAACCTACTGTAGATAGCATGTCTTTGGACTGTGGAAAGAAAGCAAAGTACCCAGGGAAAACCAATCCGAGTGCAGGAAAAACATGCAAACTCCAGGAGGTGTAAGTCAAAAACATGAGCCAAGTTAAACATGAATCAAACTACTGTGCAGAGGGAATCTCATTTCTTATTCTTTCTGAAATATTTTTTGACTGTTTAAATTAAGACTTACAGTTCATTAGTTGCTTAAAAGATGTTTGTTACCTACTTGCTTGATGAACACTAAAAAGGTGCTTATGACGTATACTGTATATGATTAGCTAATTGAGCCTTTCATATAAAAGGTATCAGGGATTGATTGTAACAGTTCCATTCAGTAAAGTGATAGTTTTTGCTTATATTCAGCCAGATCCAAACAATTCAGTGTCATTTTTAAAGTAACTTTTTTGTAAATAGCTGCGGTGAAACGAAAATATGCTGCTAAAATACTTTATTCAGACTTTGGTGTGTCTGAATAAGTTTTTTTTTCTCTCCTATAGGGGCTGCAGAAAAAAGCTCCAAGCATGGGGCAGAGGACAAAACCCAAAACATCATCATGGCAATGAAGGAGAGGATGAAAATCAGAGAGAGGAACAGACCGGAGGTGTTTGAGCTGATTCAGGATATGTTTCAGATATCAAAGGAGGACTTTTCACAGCACTTGAAAACAGCAAAGCAGAGTGTATTGGAAGGCACATCAAAATGGTCGGCCAAAATCACCATTACAGGTACCCACTTTTATCTTAACCTTAAAAAATTGAAGGCCCTCTGAGAGACTTTGGCTACAAATACAGCATCACCTTCACAACACCCAGCAAGAAACAGGTCTGAAGCATTTTCTCAAGATCAGAATTGATCCTGCCTGTAAAAGAATATAATGCATGTGGCAGGCCATATCTGAATTATAGTTTCTTTGTTTCAAGGAGCAGAAGAATCTTTTATGACCCTCACACTGAAGAGTATAAAATAAATATCTAAGAGAACCAAGAGAAAATAGGTGAAACAAGGACTTGATTTTCAAATGACATTGTTTTTCAAATGAGCAAATTCATAAGAAGCTTAAGAGTTACATTAATCTTCCATTGTATGTGAATCTTGACCAGTACATTCCCAGGCAACCTACAGTAGGTGCTCCTATTTTTTCTATGCTACCAACTGTACAATCTTAATGGTTTGCTCAGCCCTACATCATGTTTCTCTGAAGACACTTGAAAAGGTTTAAGACCAGTTTGTTGATGACAGGAACCATGTCTTGTGATCCAGTACGATCTTCAGTAAAAAATGCTATTGTTCGTCATTCACCCACGATCTTTAAGGTGATTGAAGTACTGTATGTGCTGCCAGTTATTGACATAACCCATACAGCCTGAGGGCAGAGCTGTAGGAATGTGATGGGCAGATGCCTGTGAAACTGCTCATTACCGACCAAGTCAGACTTCTCCGATAGGAATGTCTGAAACTCCCTGTGATTCTTGCCTTTTGCCCTTTTTGACACATTTAGCAACCACAGCTGTAACAGTTTCCATTTTCAGTAATTTCTCACAAAAGCTTCTTGATATAATAAGGTGGTGTATGTTATACCTTCCTATTTAATTCACCCCCTATTTGTTTGTTTGTTTCACCACACATGGAAGGTGTTGCATTGATTAAGAAAGCTTTTAATTCTCGCCAGAATTCCAATGGTATTCATACACTGCTTACTTTCAGGTTTCAGAGCATTCAGAAGTACTGTACTTCCATAGCTTTCAGATCTGCATCCACACTGCTGATGAAAGTCCTAACTGAGCCATATCAGCAATATCAGTGCTGACATCAACAGCAAGACTAAATGCCACAAACTGTCTTGATTTTTCAAGGAGCTGATCTTGAATATTGGCAGCTAGATCATTCACTCAGCTGCAGTATTTCTTGAAAGGCTGACATTAACAAATTCACATCTCTTTTTGTTTAAAACAATACCCATGGCTTAAACATGCAGTGCCTCATGAAAAAAAAAATCCTTTAATGCTTTTGCAGTTAGTTAGCTCGCTTTAACTGCATCATTTTCCTGTCATTGCCTTTAATCATCCACCCATCCTTTTTCTGATCGCTTGTTCTCATACAAGGACTTTCATACATACAATACAAGCTGTATGCCAACAGCCTTATCACCTTGCAACTCACAACTGGCAACCCATTGAAGCTCAGCAGGTGTGAGCCTGGTCAGTAACTGGATGGGAGACCTCCTGGGAAAAACTAAGGTTGCTGCTGGAAAAAGTAATAGATAGGCCAGTAGGGGGTGCTCATCCTGTAGTCTGGATGGGACGTAATGCCCCAGTATAGTGAGGGGAACAAAGGCACTGTCCTTCGGATGAGATCTACAGTAAAAGTGAGACCCTAACTCTCTGTGGTCATTAAAAATCCCAGGATGTTTTTCGAAAAGATTAGGGGTGTTACCCCGGCATCCTGGCCAAATTTCCCATTGGCCTTCTAATAATTCCCATCTCTGAATTGGCTTCATCACTCTGTTCTCCTCCCCACTGATAGCTGATGTGGGCTGTGCGTTCTGGCGCACTATGGCTGTCACATCATTTAGGTGGGGCTGCACAGTCTCCAGAAAAGTGCTATACAAGTGTAAAGAATTATTATTATTAAGGGTCACGAGGAAGCTTGAACCTTTTCCGGCAGGTAATAGGCACAAAGTGAGACACACCCTGGATCGCAAGGCACACACGCTTAACCTACAGACAATTAACCTACGAGTACAGTACAGTATGTCTTTGGATTGTGGGGAGTGAACAGATCACCCAGAAGAAACCAGGAACATTGGCTGAACATAAAAACTCCACACAAATAGCACCCAAGGTCCAAATTCGAACCCAGGGCTCCAGCAGTGCGACGCAGCAGTGCTAACTACTGTGCCACTATGCCACCCCTTGTTTAATCCTGCCTTTCGGAAATCCAAGGTTTCCTGCAGCTCGGCTCTTTTTCCTGTCTTCTTTCTTTCTCAGTGTTCCATATTTCTCTTTGTTTCATTACGGTGCGTCACGTGAATTTCTTTCAGCACTGAAATATTTTCTTTTCCACCCTAAAAAAATGACGTTTTCTTTGTGATCGCCAAATGAGTACCCCTTTTCCTGTCGTTTTTGAAGCAGCCTGCTTTCTTTGTCTACTTTTCTTTTTTTCATCATGCCTCCACTTAATACTTGTGTGCAGTGCAGTTTCGACACAGAGGTTCATGCATGTAGGCATACCTCACACATGTCCTTGTGTCATCCGTTTTATAGTATATCATCTGATTCAGATGATATTCAGATGATATTATTTAGCATGTACAAAACCATGCTAAATAAAATAGTATAGGGCCACTTTATATAATAGTTGAGGTGGGTAGCTACGTTAGCATGAGTAGGCTGCAAAGGAACAAGTAATAGGTTTATTCCATGCTGAAAAAAAGAAGAAAGAAAACACAACGTTTCGTTGTGTTTTCTTTCTTCTTTTTTTCAACATGGAATAAACCACTTTATATAACAGCAAGCAAACCATACAGCAGACCCCTTAAAAAGGGCCACAGGTTTGACATTGCTGATATACTTCTTGTTTAGAGATTTTTGCCACCAAGGAGTTGCACTTCTGCTGTGTGATCTCAAAGAGAAACCTTTTCAGTGTGACTAATTTACTATTTTTAAGAAAGGAATATTATTTGGAGAGCCATATTGACCGTGCTGTTTATTGTATTGAGGCTCTGCTGTTTCACTCAATCCACAAGAATGTGTAATTTCCCATTTTCTCAAGGTTGCTGTGAGCCCTGTGCTATTAAAGCTGACGTGAAAGCAGCCATCTGCCTTTAGTTTCTGTTCAGATAAAAATCTCACAAGATAAATTGGCAACTCCCTGTCTCTGCAAGATGTGTTTCAACCCATCAGCTGTACACTACATGTCCTGTAACAAACATATTGAAAGGATTAGAAGTGTCTTCTGCTGGTACATAATACTGAACACCTGTGTGTTCTGAACCTGAGGTCTTGCAAACAGCTTATTCACAAGCTGTATTGGAGAGCCAAAAAGTAAAATTATGCTGTAAAGGGGCATGTCTGGTGTCACTGTAACAAAATCAAATGCTTGTTTTGAGCTAAGGGGGATTGTATTGTTCTGTTCCATAAAGAGGAAAGGAAGACGATTTAAATCAATTCTGGTTTCCACCAGTAATCTCCCGCTCTAATCTGGTGTAGAGGACAGCCAGGGTATTGGTTTCCATCATGATGTTCACCAGGTGTGCAGCTCTGCTGTGGTCTCCATGGCAACAGAGCCCAGCAAGGCAGAAATCGAATTGCAGCATCATTTGGCTGCACCTGTTGTGGTTTTTTATGGCTTTGCTAAAAATAAGTTATTCCCACGACCACACTATTTTCATTATAGATACATGTAAACAGTAATAACTGCTCGATGTGGCATACCATATTTACATAAATATATATAATGAATGAAATCAGATTCTCTCCTATTAGAGGATAGGGATGAAATTCTACAGCCACACTATTACAATTTAATGTGTCTGTTAATCCTCTCTCATACTGTAGATTCATTTGTTGAAGAACTTTGGTGTACTCCAGCTAAACTTCTGTCACTTTGCAAAAATACCGTGTGTGATTATCATTGCCATATTTCTTCTTGAGGTACTAAGAACATTTTGAGGAGATATCATTGGCAGTTTTTTTTTCTGTAAAGAAAAAAGTGAAACCCCTTTAGGTCAGTTTGAACCACCAGCAACTGATTTTCTCAGGGTCTGTTGTAACATCGTCTCTCATTCACAGTCCTGTGCGCTCAGGGCTTACAGGCCAAGGACAAGACAGGCTCCAGTGATCCATATGTTACTGTGCAAGTTGGCAAGACCAAAAGGAGAACAAAAACCATCTTTGGTAACCTCAACCCTGTCTGGGATGAAAAATTCCACTTGTAAGTATATCTGTTCATCGTTTCGTTTTGTTCATTCAGGTAAAAATGTTGTAAAATCAAATATTTGAGCACAAAAGGAAAAAATGAATTGTAAAATACTGAACAAAACAATTACAATATATTATATATATGTATATGACTGATTATGAAACATTTAATTTTAAAATAATAATGTTCAGATTGGTGATTTTCAAAATCTGCCTTTACGAACACCTCCAAGCACTTTTTTCCCCATCATGACTGATTGCCTATTTATTTTCAAAGGCAACTTTATAATTGTGAGAGTGTTCATGGTAAGACAGTGCTTGGAAGTCTGAAAATGAGGAATGCAATGAAGAGCCATTTGTCGGATTTATGGCTTCCACTATAAGAAAACTGGAACATTTCTTTTCATGCTTTTGAAGTTAACTGCATTGCCTTTTGTATCCCGAGTCCACCTCAGTCATTTGAAAAACACAATTCTGCAGAGTGGAGTAATTGAACGTAAATTTTCCTGCAGCGAGAATATCATACCAAGACAGCATGCCTATTCATAATGCATGTACTTTATGAAATCCAAAGAAATAAAAACACAACGGACATAAAGTATTCATGTCCTTTCCATTTAAAAGTTTTTTTTAAAATGCAGACTCTTTAATTCTTCATGGTCTATATATTTTTTGACAACCTGTAAGAGGTGACCTGATCTTTATAGACTTTGTGCCCCAGAATTTGTCTTCTCTTTAGGTTATTATTTTTAAAGATTTTAGCAATTGTCATGCAATAGCATCTCCTTTTCGGAGTGTCATGCAGTGATACAATCTAGATTTTGTGTTTATATATATTTCATAACACCATCAGATTCCTAAGATTAAAATGTTTTTCAGTCCCTGGATTTGTAATTCTTTAATTTATCATGGCAAGTGGTTATAAAACATAAAATATTTATTTCCTTATCTTGCAGTCCTGAGTTTAGGTTGTAAGCTACTTATCAGATATTCTCTGGTCTCTTGTTTTACAGTTCAGCATTCTGTGTGACTTTCTTTGTTGGTTGGTTTGGTTTTTGTTAGACAGTAGAGAGAGAAATGTCTGGGGAGCTGTTAGAATGTGTTACAAGAAGAAGCAATCAGTTACTGATTTTGTTATGGAGGACTTTTATTCTTTCGACAATTCAATGTTAATTGCAAGTCATACAGAATGAAAGGGTTTAGTAGTGGCGGCCAAGGACAGTCTGAATCACTCAGACATCCGCTGTTCAACACTGTATAGATTTATATTATTCCCTGGTGATCACCTCTTTACAAATAAGCACTCTGTCTGTTTTTTATATGTAATATAATGTCAATAACATTGAAATGTATGATGCTGCATTCTGCTATATTGAGCATCAAAATGTACAGTAATTTCCAAATTTAGTTTGAGTGATTTGTGAAAAAATGCTTATTTTGTCTAAAGTTATACAACCTGATTTAAAAAAATTAAACTTGAAAGCCGCTCTTTTTTTTCTTCTTCTTTTAAAACAATTTATTCTCTCCATATGACCAGTGCAACCTTGGACATTATCTTTCTCGTTAATTTTCTCTGTAAATGCCATTTCAGCTTCTTCACATAAATCCCCAGCGTTTGGTTGCATTAATGGGCCCTTTTTCTTTGCCCAGGAGAAAACCAAACAAAAAATCTAGTAATAAATATTAGCATACGAAAAAGGGATACCCATATCTGAGTGATATCCGCCCTTAATAATTAAATGTTAGCGGTTACTGTCTCTTTTTAAAGTGTTCTTATTTCTCTCAACACTCCGTGCTCTATGTACAGGCCAGATAATCTCCCTATTTCTAGACCCTTTGACCTTTTATCCAGATTGACTGTTCTTAATGTACCAATATATCTGGTATTCAATTAAGAAAAGAAGATGAGAAATGACCTGGAGAGAGTAGAAAGTGGTTTTCTGGAACAGGAGATCACAGTTCATTAAAGGGGTCTTTATTTCTCTTTATGCTCTCAGCTAAGCCTGTGGTTACATTTGCCTAATGCATCTTCAGCTGTTAAATTAAGCAAAGATGTTCTCACAGTGTTGTTCCATAGTAAGTAGTATTGTAGGTAATACTAACTGTGGTGCACCAGGAATTGTTTAGGTCAATTTTGTGAAGACATCACAGCTATTTTTCACTTTTATATTTCACCTGAATTTAGAAAACATAACATTTTAATTGAAATTTTTGCAATGGCCACAGGCATGTCAGATATTAACTTTGAGGCATGATGAGTTATGCACATGGCAGTTACCAGCAAGAGGAGGCTATTTGACTATCAAGTCTGTTTGGCAGTTAGTAGCTAATTAATCCAAACGATGGCCACATTTTTTAAAGTAGCCTATGCAAGTAGGCTTTCATTCCCACAATAAAATGAAATATATTGAGACACAATATATTTGGGTTTGTTGTATGGGACAGGGCTACAATGCTGTGAATCTGCCTCATAGCACACAAATTTTATATTGATTATAGAAAGGAAGACACCACTACAACATATACTGTAGATCACTGTTTCTGGCTGTCCACAGTACACTTCAGATTTTCATCTCTGAGGATAGGGATTAAAATGTAACCCAAATAAAATACATTAAATGGATTTTGCCAGCAGCCGTATCACTGTGCAACTCACAACTGACAATGAAGCTAAGCAGATGTGAGTCTGGTCAGTACCTGGATGGGAGACCTGGGAAGAACTAAGCTTGCTGCTGGAAGAGGTGTTAGTGGGGGCCAGCAGGGGGCGCTCACCCTGCGTTCCATGTGGGTCCTAATGCCCCAGTATAGTGACGGGGACACTATACTGTAAACAGGCGCCATCCTTCGGATGAAACGTAAAACTGAGGTCCTGACTCTCTGTGGTCAATAAAAATCCCGGGGCGCTTCTCGAAAAGAGTAGGGGTGTAGCCAAATTTCCCACTGGCCCTTACCAATCATGGCCTCCTAATAATCCCCATCTATGAATTGGCTTCATTACTCTGCTCTCCTCCCCACTGATAATTAAATGTTAAATGTTAAATGTGGTGAGCATTCTGGCGCACTATGGCTGCCGTCGCATCATCCAGGTGGGGCTGCACATTGGTGGTGGTGGAGGGGAGTCCCCATTACCTGTAAAGTGGAGTGGAGTGTCCAGAAAAAGCGCTATATAAGTGTAAGCAATTACTATTATTATTATTATTATTATTATTATTATTATTATTATTATTATTATTATTTTACCAGTTTCAGGGTATTTACCACTGCCTTGTGTAAGCCAAAAGATAGCTAAGAAAACAGGTTTGGAACATTCACAGTTAAGAAGCTGATTTGTCAAAGTTCTTATTGTCTCATTATACTGATTTATTAGTTCTTTATGTAAACCCATAGCATTCCTCAAGGCTTGATTAATCCTGGAGGCTTTTAGACGTTATGGTAATAAGTCATATAAAACAAACTCACCCAATCTCCAGAAATAAGAAGCACACTTGACATGGTTTAGAAAAGCATCCTGTTGCTTTTGTGTTCTTTGTTATTCATTAACACAACCAAGCTATGTTAATAATTTTAATGGGTTATCTCATATTCCATTTAATCTCAAACAGTACTTTGAATTGAAGTCCCTTTTTATGATTGCCAAGGGCAGGTAGGAGAGGGTGTATTGTTTGGTAGTCAACTCCAAAATAAATGTAAATATGTCCAATATGCATTTCAGATTGTCCTAAAGAGATATGTGCATGTGTTTCTGTAGGGCCACTCAGAGTATGTAGGGTTGGAGAGAGCCATTTGCAAAGACACCCTGAAGAAAATTATTTTTGAGTCATTAGTTTTAATGTTAGTGAACCACAATTGAAGCAAGCAAAAGGATCATTGTTGCATTGCCACAGTGTTTCACAAATGAAAAATTGTTTAATGGCTCAAACAGCATGTCTTTTTTCTTTGCAAATGCAGAGCTAGCAAAACAATTGAGATGCACATTGATTCAGTTATGAGGCTCCTAGGTGATCATTTGTTTTGCTTTGCTTTGAAGGCAGGCAGAAGGACAATTATTTTAACCTCCATATGCCTATGGGGCTGTCTGCATTTGGATTCTGTCCTCAGACTACAACGCACTTAATGTTTCATGGAACAGAAGTTGCTTCTTCTGGAAGACAATGGTATTTTAAATTTCTGTGCATTCAGGATCTCAGATTCACCTTTGAAGCCAAGAATTTCAGCGCAAACTACTTTGAAAGGAAAAAAAAAAACATTCAGAAATAGTAATACTCAATATCTCAGTATCAAAAACAACATCTGAAAAGTAAGTCATAGGATTCTAGAATGCACCCTGTTCATTCTTTCCACTGGTCTTGTTTTTTTAAGATAGAAAATAGTGGAGGACACTGCAGTGCTGCATAGCTGAGGCTGCCTTAGAAAGAACCTGTCCTTTGCTGCCTACAGCCTTGAGGCATATACCAGTACAAAGATAAGCTCCGATACGTTTCTTCAGTGGATTCCTTAACAAGGAGCGCATATCTGGCTAGAGTTTAGCATGTTATAATGTGCAGATATTTTAACTTAATGTAGGACCTCTGATAAAAAAAAAAACAGTTCCGAATGTGAAGATGATAATCTTTGCGACGCAAACATAGTTATTGTTTCTGCAAAATTGTAAATCACATGCTTAAAAGGATTCAGAGAGAAAATGCAGTAAATATGCTGGTGGAATCCAAAAAGGCAATAATAGAAATGCAACATTATTCCACTATTGCACTGTATTTCCACTAATATACAGTAATCCTGTCTTTTTCCTGATGCACAGAATTGGGTTTAGGAGAATTTTAATGAAAACAATGAGTTGTATTTTAATTTTGAGCATTAAATTGATTATTGTTTTGAGTTGGTGATTCTATGAGGAAAGATTGTAAGTTTCCCACATTGCACAAGAAAGATTACAGAAACATGAGGCCCTTAAGCTAGTCTACTTTGGTTACTAATAGCTACAGGTAAGTGATCCAGGGATCTTATACAGCTGTTTTTTCAAATAAGTCAGGGCATCAGCTACCCAGAATGCCTGGGTAACTTGTTCCAAACTAATAAAATCCTTTTTGTAAAAATATCCTGCTGTTCCTAGTTTAAAATGCAATTCCTGTTTGTTTTGACTTGAGTCGTACAGTTCACGTGTCACAACCTATGCTGAATAACCCATTCAGGCTGACTTTGTCAATGCTTCTCAGGATTTTGATAACTTGAATCACATCCCCAAACAGTTTTCTCTGTTCAAGACTAAAAACGTTTCGTTGGGGCTGTCAAGGTAGAATCTTCCTTTTATGTCAATGAATGTGTCTGGTTGATCTTCTCTGAACTGATTCCACATCTGCAGTACCTTTTTGTAATGTGATGATCAAAAATGCAGCAGTTTTCTAGTTTCTAGACAAACTCTAGCCCTCCTTAACCGATTGTGACTTTACCTCATGGTATTCGCGCTAGCCTGTTCTTTATTCTTTTCACAAGGTAAATACAGTACATTTAATTTATAACAGGACAAGAAGAAAGTGGAGCACAAATAATTAATGAGAAACAAATGTCATATGGTCTTTTGGTGTTTTTAGAGGCCTGGCTTTATGCAATTACTACAGTGGGATCCCATCTGGAATTCTAGTTCTTTTATTGCTGGCTTCCAAGATAATTACTGTACTTCTCTCCACTTTAAGTCTTCCCCTTACTGTTCTTGTAGTTAAGGTACTGCATATTCCTCATTATTCATTCTCTTTTCTAACTTCTACTACTTAGCACCCAGGTTGCATAAAGCACTAACACTTTCTTGAAATCCTGACAAGCACTTACACTCTCTAACTGTCCCCCCACCCTCCCTGGGAATCTGAACTGTCTTTATCTTTCATGTGGAATATTTAAATGATTCAGTATGTCCACATGAAAACCTAAGTCTTTTTCATAAGTAGCTTGTTCAGTTTCAGTGTTTCCCATTTTATATTTATAGCTTTATTTTTTATTTTTTTATATACACAGTAACACTCTACACTTCTGTACATAAAATGTCATTTACAATTACTGATTTTGATTTTGTTGTTTTTTGATGGAGATGGTTCTAAATTAGGAATGCAGGGGGTTGGTTCTTTCCTTCAATTTTATTTTCTCCCCCCGCAGGCAGAAGGACTGGTTGGAGTAGTGAATTACATTTCTGAAATCCAACACCTACTGTACCTTTAAAATCACTGAAGATTAAAATGCATCTGCTGTATGCAATCCACAGCACTGTACTGAAGCTTCAGCAGTGAGTGCTGTTTTTCTATAAGGCCTCTTTGAAATCCATTAAATACATTTCTCATAGTAGTCAACAGTTTTTTTCCTATCAAATTGAGCAAAGATTTTTTTTTCAGAGGATGGAAGGATTTATCCCCAAGTCAAACATGGATGATTTTTCTAAACATTGGTGTGTTCATTTAGGAGAGGAGAAAGAGCTGCCAACGAAGAGGCTTAATATATGCTGGAAGCACCAATCTTTTTCACTCTACTCCTTCCAAGACGTACTGTAATCCATGTCTTAAATGGAAAAATGAAGGCAGGGGCAGCAGTGCAGAGTAGCACTACTGTTGTGCTATTGATTGCTGCCCTATTCAATTTGCTACAGAAAATGTCATGCTGTATAAAAAAGGTAGAATTCCAGGTCATTATTGACTACCATCGACAGTTACATGAAGTTACTGTTTTCAATGCTATTGTTGACTGTGCTGTAGTTAAACCCTTGACCAATGCTAGAAACATAACAAGAAGGTAATTCTTTCAAATGCATAAAATTGCCATGTTAATGTCTTTTCTCCATTTGTCTGCACATGCATTTATCTCATCAAGATTGCAGATAGCTTTCCTACCTAGGGTGTTTCAGTAATAAACAGCCTCCAGTATCTTAGGAACTCTGCTGCTTGCAAGCTCACTAAACTACTCTGCCTAAGCATATAACTCTTGTCTTGTGTAAATTGCATTGACTTCATGTGGAATTTAGAGTGGATTTTAAGGGTCATTTACTTGCATATAAGTTATTGAATAGTTTAGGTCCTGGTTACCTTAAAGAGTTATTGCATGAGAACAGTCCCAATGCTTATTCAGAGCTCTGCTGATTCAAATTTTCTTATTCTGCCTAAGACCAAGCTCCAAACAATGCTTGATCAAGCATTTTGTTGTGCTTGCTCTGTCACTGTACAGTAACTTGTCCACATTTATCTGAGGCTCTGCAACCATTGATGTTAAAGACATGTTTTACTACTGTACATATTTTAATTCAGAATTTTGCTATACTGTTGATTTAATCCAATAAAATTATTTTTCTGTTATGTCCTTCAGTTAAGCCCTGTATGAATGTACTATTGTATAGTGCTATACACTTTTTGAAGTGTTCACGAAAAATGGTTTATTGTTCTTCTTAAAAAACTGCCAGTATGCTCTTACACAAGTGTCATATTCAATGCAAAAAAATATTATTTTCCTCAAGAAAAGGCCTTCAGCAACATACTGTATAAGTTGACAAACCTCCCACACATAACTGCTATGAGGCATTAACTCTGTTCCATCTGATGGTCCCCTCCAACCTTCTTTCCTACTACTCTGCCTGGCATCTGTGTGCCCTGTGTCCACATTATCCCAAGGCCAGAATCTCTGAACATCACACCACTCAATGAGTAAGCAGAGCTGAGTACCGGAAAACCTTCCTTACAGTCATGCAGGGTTTTTTTTATACAGGGCTTGAATTAACCCACTGGGCGTCTCTAATTGCAGCTACAGTACTGTACATACCATATATGACAGATATTTGCAGCCTGAGAGAAAACATAATCAAATGTGTGTCTTTATCTGTTTATTGATTTTCTTCTGAAATTGTTGTACTGTACTGTATATCTGTCCTTTTCTCCTTGATAAATAAAGCAAGGTGTCTATAGAACATTAGTAATAACTCCCTTGACGCTGTTCACATAATGCTGATTTCCTCTTGTGCTTATTACTATTATTATTTTTTATCTTCTGATTTTCTAAAGGTGCATATCCTTAGTGTTTAATGTTTCACTGAGTTGTGATTCTGATTCAAGATTTTTGATTTCAGTAGTGTCACTTAAAGGCCTAAGGCTGTATTTTTCCCCCAGAAAGAAGTTATTGGATATGTGGTCCTGTACTGTATGTGAAGATACACACTTGGTTTTTGAAACTGTGTTTTATGGAAAGGTATTATGGCATCACTGTTATAATCTCTTAAGAGAAGACAGTTTTTTTCATTTTTGCATAACCATAAAAAGGCAAAGGTTAGAACAGGCCATTAAATCCATAGGTGTATGTCGTTTTGATTTTGATTTGATCACAGCTTCAGGGTTACTCTTTTAAAGAGCCTGGAATCCCCTCTTCCATAAAATATCCTGATAATTATCAGTGTAGGGAATTCACTTAATTTAAGATTAATTTTAAATAATGGTACAGTTGCCAAATGCACATTTTTTGGTTTAATTTGGAAAACAGCATATACAGTACTGTACAGCATAGCAGTTCTGTTCAGATGATCTTTACAAAATATTGTATTAAGTTTTCAATTCAGGAAAATGGCACTTTTAAAGCATTCTGTCTTTATTAACTCTCACAGCTCATGCAATGGTTCAGCTTGGCAATAAGCATGGGAGTCTGTTAGTGACACACTCTGGCAGCTCACCCTGTTCACCCTGATCCCTGCTTTGTTTTTAATTCAAACCTTAGGTGTGAGGAATTGAGATATCAAAGTAGACGTCTTTAGATATGCAGTGCAATATATACATTTTGAAATGATAACTGATGGCAAGAATACTTTGTAATATCATATCATCATTTGACTTCCAGTAATTGCACACCGGTATAGTAACTGCTGCCTTAATTCCATTTTAAAATTCTAGTTACCTCTAACTTGGAGTCCAGGCAGCTAAAATACAAAACCATATGGATACCTTTCTGCGTAATGAATGTTCCAGAATGGCCACTGCGAAACAATAATTGCTGATTAAGCTAATAAAGGTCATGCATAATATTCTCATGTGATCAGACAGAAATAACAAATTATTATACATTTATCGCCATATTTCGTTCTGAATGTTCATTTAAACCTTAATTCACTATTCACCTTTTTTTTTTGGTAGCCATTGTGTAGATAGATTTACATATTGGTATTGTGAGCGATGAATTTAAGCAGATACAGAATGGAGTTAACAAGGTTTTGAACCACTGTGTTATGTTTATGTTTAGGTTTTGTTGTTGATATAGAAAATGTGTCATCTACAGATTTTGCTATTGATCATTTCTTTGCTGTAAGGAAGTGACCAGTAAATGAGAATAACATGTCAGAATGACTCTACCGTTTGTATTGTGTTCCAGTGAATGCCACAACTCCACAGACAGAATAAAGGTGCGCGTGTGGGATGAGGATGATGATATCAAGTCTCGAGTAAAACAGCACTTCAAAAAGGAATCTGACGACTTTCTTGGACAAACAATAATAGAAGTGAGAACACTAAGCGGGGAAATGGACGTCTGGTATAACCTCGGTATGATCAAGAACCTCCTACTTTCTCATGAAAAATCAGATTATGGTGATAGATAGAAAGAAACTCTTCAGTAACTTGACAGGTAAAGGCACTTACTACCTGAGCGCACATCCAGGTATCTTAGGTTCAAGCCTGTGTCATGTCTCTAGCTGACTGTGGGCAGGATTTCCCTGGTCGGAGTACACTATTGAATGAGTGCTCTTGAGAGTGAGATGGGATTAGTTTACCAAGGGCTCTCTCTCTCAAATGTGAAGCAGACATAAAATATTTGAGCACTATGTTCATTTTAAGAATGTCAAGAAAATAATAATTATTGTATCTCATATAAATCTGACCCATTATTTGAAAAAAATCCAAACCATAATAGGGCTTATACTGTGATTAACGATGAACAGTATACAGTAGTAATTCTGTCAATAAAAAAACCTTTTATGTTTTTTTTGCTTGAATTGTACCTGTAATGCAAAGGTCAAAGGGCAGCAAAACTACAGATACAAATATATAAATGATGTTCTGGCTCACAACTGTGCTTTCTGGCATGATTCATTATGGCAGTTCTCTAATAGTAAATTGTCACTTGGAGAAGATACACTAGAAAGATTGCTCAAGGCTTCAATACAACATATTTTGTCCAGCAACAAGTTTTGGCAATGAATTAAGCGAGAACAACGTGCCACGAAAACTGGGCTTTAAAGCGAGCATTGTCTTCATCGTTCATTTCTCTTTCTCAAATGGTCTGTAAAAGTTTGAATAACGCTCTGGGGGAAATGCTGAAACAATGTACAATATGAATCAGGGGAAGGTTAAAATCAAGTTAAAAATGCACAATGCCCTCTTTTTGTAATTGTTTTCATTTCGGCTGTTCTCCAGAGAAGCGGACTGATAAATCTGCGGTATCTGGTGCTATTCGACTGAAGATAAGTGTGGAAATGAAAGGAGAGGAGAAAGTAGCTCCATACCATGGGCAGTATACGTGCTTGCATGAGGTATAGTTACATTTACATCTATATAGGCAATGAATATTAATTAGCTTTTGCCATTTCACAACACTGAAAGTCATCTCATCTAACAGGGACAGCTATTTTGCCCTTTATAGGGTTCATCAGCGTAAAAGCTAAATTTGATCGGGCATACTGTATGTACTCTATGTGTCTAACAAGCAGCATCTTTCAGGTTTATGCTGTCTTTTATAAGGTTGTAGTTACTATGGGTTATAGGGATGAAAATTAATCAGCTCTTGCTCTTTCACTAACTTTGCCTAGTTGATTGATTTCTTAATTTGGTTGCTGATATTTTATATTCACAAAAAGCAGAATTACAAAATTCATTTGACAGCATCAACTTTGTAAAAACATGAAGGACTAATTAATATGCATTCCCATAATTCATTTGACTCCCCAAAATATGTTACTTGTAAAGCACTACTGTATCTACTGTATCTCTGTGTGTCTAATCTGTGTCTTTCTCACCTGGACAACTACTGTAGGTCAGTGTAATCTGCTCATTTGTTTAGAAAAGCATATCACTTTTGTAAAAAATAAAAATTTAACAGTTTTACTAAAACTACATTCCAGCATATTTACCTTAGGAATGAATGTCCTCAGCAGAGCCAAATACACTTGATTTTCCAATTCTTTTGAAAATGCCTTCTGATAAGTCTTTGTCTATGAGGTTTTCTATTTATGAAATATTATTGTATTATTATAAACTGGAATCAGTCATTTTAATTGACTAATAATCTTTTTTCAAACAGTATGATTTTTTCATTTAATTATTTATAAACTTAGGTTAATAAAATCTGAGTTTTTTCGAAGTTTAGATGTCTTTAATTTATTTTCAGGCACCAATAAAATGTACCTCCTCAACCTGCCAATATGTCATTTTAAAAAGTGTATTAATATAAATGTAAGTGTTTAACACCTTTATGGAAGCTTCAAAAGCTTATTTTGTAAGTAAAGCTCACCTTTTTAATGAGACTGATTGGGTATGGAGTGGCCAATGGGCACTCATTAGAACCTCCATATTTCTTACGTTGTTTCCAGACCCGCAAGAAAAAGAATGATGAAAATAAAAACCTTTTCATCTCCAGTATTATTTCTATTACGACATATTATTGCTTCCAGAACTTGTTCCACTACCTGACTGAGGTGAAGAATGGGGGAGTAGTGAAGATTCCTGAAGTAAAAGGAGACGAAGCCTGGAAGGTTTACTTTGATGATGTTGCTCAAGAGATCGTTGATGAATTTGCAATGCGCTATGGAGTGGAATCCATCTACCAGGCTATGACGTGAGTAAAATGTGTCAAAATAATAAAAATTTTTAAAAATCAGTCTTCATAATTCTTAAATATATCTAAAAATGGCACCAAGTAGGAGAGATTGGTTTGCTACTACATATACAACATTGTAGAACAACAGGATCTACACTTTATACTCTAGGCATAATGACTTCACTTCACTAATTGTCCCTTCTGGATTTGCCTTTAAGGCTACGAACATGACTCATTCATTAAATTATTTAATGGGTCGAAAATTGTGTATGTTGAATGGATCATTTAATAATTCTGTTTCACCTTACTTAAAGCTTATGGGAGGTACCGAAAAATCAGAATGCATGTGAAAAAGATGAAAGGTGACTTTTATATAGACATGATGACTGTGTTTTCCAAGAAATTTATGAGAGGTATGTAACAACGTGCTTCTTATCCCCGGTGGGCTTTTATTTCAGTCCATGACAGACTTGAAATCACTCTTTGTCTTAATGGCTATATAAATCTTGATATATATTCCCTGGGCAAAGGACTACAACCCCCTCTTTCCAAAGAACTAAAACTAAAAAATGTTAACAGCAGTCTTGAAGCGACATCATTAATATTTTCTATGGTACTTAAAGTCTACGGCATATCAGTTCTCATGGAATACAAAGGTCACCAATTTGGGAGGGCAGTATTGAAAGAATAGATGAATGATAAGTTGAGCATTCTAAAGTACTATCACAGTGTCATAAGATTATATGCATTTTATATTATTTAATCTCTAGGCATTCCAGGGCAGCTGGAATAGTAACATATTCTTGCCCATAATGACTTCTAGTTATGTGTTGCATGTGTCTTGTGTGAAGACAAGCACAAGCTGTGTACATTATATAAATTGAAATCATACAGTCAAATTCAAGCAGCTCACACATGGCCTTGCAGCAGCAGAAAGGTGGTAGAAAGGATAAACAAACCATTTTCAGTGATGCATGAATACAGTGTAGCACTCACAGCGAACATCACGATATGGGAGTTTTGAATGTAGTGGCATGTCATAAAAATGTTTGGAGAATGTGACTTCAAAAAAGTCTCAGAAGACATTGTCACAAAAAATTGTCACAAAAGTCACAGTAGAAATTGGAATCACAGTTTGATGTTTCCTTGAAGTGTAGACAGTATTCCTGTTCAAAATGTTATGATGATTTCAAGTTGCTTAGTCTAGTAAAGGATCAGGGTGTGTGGGAGCCCAACTTTGCCCTGAGATAATGGGGACGTGGCACAGTACACTCCAGACAGGAGGCCAGGCCATCACAGTGCTGACATATTCCATTAGTTGGCTATCCTTTAATTTTTCTCCTCATCCAGTTTAATTCTGTAGCGTGTTTAGTTGCTTTCAGCACATAATGCAATAAAAATGATAATTTACAGTTACAGCTGTCAGCATCCTTATCCAGAGAACAGCATGTTAGTAATTATAATGTGAAACCCTGGAAAAAAAAACAATTACAAGTGTCTGCAATTGAAACAAATTAGCGCTCATCCCATTTTGATGGGAGTTAAACCCTTGACGCAAATAATAGGATTCATAGCCATTTAATTAGGAAGTGAACCTGCCCAAGAACAAATCTACAGCTGAAAAAGAAAGGTGTCTCAAAACTTTATATATTGAAAATAAAATACACTTTCTCATACGTTTCTCATCCCAAAGGATCTGAAAGCCTTTTTCAAACAGGAAGGGCCCAAGCCATCCACCACTGAACATCAGTGATGAACAGCAGCTGTTCTGACCTCCTGCCAGGAGATTGGGTGGAGAAGTAACAAATTGCTTCACTTATTGATTTAAGGAGAACTTTACAAAGGCCAGTCTGTTCTGAATTGGAATATAACAAAATAACTCCCCTTCTTTTTCAAAAACTACCTCGGGATCTGCAAAGACCAAAAGATGGCAGTTTTTACAGTATAGTAACCCTGGACGCCATAGTAGGGTTTAGCTTTTGAAATTGCTCTTCAGGGCAAGTGGTAGCTACTGGTCCACCACCACTTTCAGCAGCAATTAGGTTTTCGTCAGAGGTCTCTCAGCTCAGCACTGTCCAGGCCCAGCCTTCTGTGATCTTGCACGATCAGGCTACAAGGTGGCAGCACTGCTGTCAAATCAGCTCATAACAGTATGCAGTCTATAAAAATGCTATGGTCAATGTATTATTTCTATGAAAGCATGCATTTGTCTAAGAATTATTTATTAAATTAAAACATGCGTGAACTCAATTTACTGTTAATTATGAGTAGAATCATATTTAAATGATAAGACAATTAAATATTAATCTAATGAAATATTAATATGGAATTTAACATTGGACATCAAGCAATGATCCGGGTATGTAGTGTCAAAGGAGAGAGAGAAGTGAGCTTTAATGCTGGGGCAGTGTTTAATTTGTACAAAAAAAGTATTAAATATAAAAGCCAGATACCAAGGAAAATATATATCTAGCCAAGAGGAAGCCAACAACCTTACAATTGGCAGCTATCCAGATTTGTCAAGAGGAGTCTTTAAGACGTTTTGAAACTAAAGGCAAAGTCAGGCAGAATGATCAGTTGTAGGATGTCATATGACAAAAAAGAATACAAAATCTACCTGTATGGTGCCTGCACAGCTTCTGTTTACCTGCATTCCTCTATATTTTTATGGTTTTAATTAGTGCATAGTTGAAAAAACTATATCCAGCATATAAATAAGAACGAATGAAAGCAGACTAAAATCTACAAACTCCCGCAGTTCTCTTTGCTGTACATTATGTATTTAAATAGGTTCTTTGTGAGTGACAAACCATTTGTATATGTCTTTAATAAAAGCATTTCCAGTCTGATGTGAGAGAAGTTTGGTGTTACCCATATAGAAATAAAATTGTTTTTCTAAATTATATGTATTTTTCCTATGAATTTGTTATAAAGGTACTGTACAATGAGATTTGTCAGGAACAAAAAAGGCTGTTATTTTAATTTCACTTGGCTTTTCTTAGCCTTTTTACAGTTTTTCTTAAATAAGGAAAAGGAAGAAATGTAACATCTTATTTAAGAATTCAATCCTGTGCACAGAATTAAAGCATCTCAGTGGAGTTCTTGTTCATAATTTAAAAAAAAATGTTTGTATTAATGACATAATAATCTAGTGGCCTTTTTAAAATCATACTTAAAATTGTCCATTATTGCTGTAAATTAAAACTCTTGCTATTTGCAGCATACCGTTAATTACAAGAGCTTTATTTAAGGTCCAAGATAATTAGCAGAGCTGTGGCTCAGGACCTGTGAAACAGAGCTGGTGTCAGTCTTGTTGCACAGGGCCCCACAGGTCCTCTGGACTGAGTTGACCATGCCCTGTGGTAGTGCTTTCTTTTGTTATGATCTCATCTTAGTTAAGAATTTAATTTGGTAAGACAGAGCTTGAAACCCATCTATGAGTACAGAATTTTATTTAGAAAATCAGAGCATAGCCCCCAACTCTGTCCAAAAAAAAGTCTGTGATTAATTTCCACTCTGTGAATATCATCTGAACTCATTAAAGCACAGGAGACATCCAAATTAAGTGCACTGCTTAAACTGGATTAAATGACAAAATGATTTCACTATATATACAATTACATTTATTGGCACATCTTAATAGTTCTATACGTCTGGGAATCAGAAACTGATTAGAACCTTTTCCAGGCAATTTCATCACCATTAAGAGAGTAAATTAGCTGTAGCTCAAATGATAAATATTTTTGACAAATGTCTGTTGTCTGAAGATCATTTAAGTGCAGCATAAACAAATATCGCATCTACCAATGTTCTAGATATAAATCAATGTGCTGAATATCCATTATGCCATACAGAAATAAAATGAAATCATGTTTTTTTAAAGTTGTCCTTTCATACAATCAGATATATTGACCTGTAGCCCAGCTCTAAGCTCTCCCTGGGAGAGGGACATGTTCACTTTAATCTTGAAGGTACTTTCTTAACTGCTCGCATTTCTCTATACAGCCCTGCAGGGTCAGTGCTAAATTTAGTGGTGTGCTGTGCTCATAGGCTGTGACTGTCTTCTTTCTGTGTGTGTTTTCCCTAATGAGCTATACCTGATAGGAATGATGTTCTTCTGAACCCCCAGAGCACTACAGTGTTTTTCCAAGGTCACAAAGAAACGTACTGTACATTTTGTTAATTTTTTGGAAAGGTGTACTGTAGTTCGGGTGTATTGTATGTCAGAGAAGTGAAGGAGTGGTTTAAATACATATCCAGTGCTCTTCGTCTCCGTTGCTTTAAGTGCACTATTTTGCTCTGAGGCACAGGGCTTAGTAAACCATAATTTATTATTTTAGATTATTAGAACATTTAAGAAAAGAGTGTGCACATTCTTAGATATTTCTAAATCTTGGTCTTTGACCTATGGACAAGACATAATTTCTGGTGACTATAGATCTTGTTAAACCTCAGTGCAGCAGAGATGAATTGTTTCTTATACTTCTGGTTTCTATTTAATGTGTTTGTGTTTTTCTTTTTCTATCATAGACATTTCTCTTGCCTGTCTTCCAAGTACATGTGCCCTGGAGTCCCTGCAGTGATGAGTACTTTGCTGGCTAATATCAATGCCTATTATGCTCACACAACAGCCAGCACCAACGTCTCAGCTTCAGACCGCTTTGCTGCTTCAAATTTTGGAGTAAGTTGTCAATTTCAATTGAACAATCTATTTTTTTATTCTATGTTGAAATACGTTAATATTTTAATATTAAACCAACCAAACCTAAATTGATAATGGCATTTTAACTTCAGTTTTAAATGATGGTAATATGTTTTTGTTTCTTTTGTATCCATAGAGAGAAAAATTTGTTAAACTCCTTGATCAATTACACAATTCCCTGAGGATTGATATGTCAAAATACCGGGTATGTATGTTGAAAATGATCACACTGGTGGAATGAGTTTCACAGTCCCCAGAAGAAAATGAAAGAGAGGACAAAGACATGAATGATATTAAAGTGCCTATGGAATAGGCAGATCACCACAGGGATGCGAACCCAAGTCTCTAGCCCTGAAATGGCAAGCACCGTACTCCATCCCCAGAAGGTCTAGACCATCTGGGAAAGCAGGAAAAAAACTCCCCAAACTACACACTCTTAGGGTCATCCATAGAATAGAGAAAACCAGTTCACTTGATTTGGGCCTGAATTTCAACAGGTTATGCATTGGGTGTAGAGAACTTTGGGGGATGACACAATTGTTTAAAAAAAAGAAAGAGGAGTCAGAAAACTTGTATGTACTGTAGATTGCAAATCCTGGAATAAGTGAAGTCCACCATTAAAAATATCTGCTATAATTGAAAACCTCTTAGTTTTCCATTAAAGTGGAAAAGAGAATGGGAAATTGTGGAAAAATTGAGAACAGGCATGCCATGACTTCTGAGGTTTAATAAATCTTTCTGCTTACACCAAAGTTTAATTTAATTAATTTGATTGACGCATGACAGTGTTACTAAAGTGCAAGGAAGAGCGTCTCGAATTTAAAAGAATTATTCCATATTGACTGTCCAACTAACTCCTAGGCATAAGGCAGGCGATAGTGATTTAATTTCAGGACTAGAATTGATCTTTGCCTCACATGAATTGTGTAACATTGACATATTTACCAAATCAAGTTTGAGAATATCATACTCACTTTATCTGGTGATGTAACACCCAGGCTTTCCTGTAGAAAGTGAAAATAAAGTTAGACAGTAATAGAATTCAAATCAATAGAGAATACAGGACTATGGATTTCCTTTAAATAGAATTTTAAGCAAAATATATATTTTTTTTTCTTCAAAGAGGGAGGCCAATTTAGTAAAAGAATCATAAGGCACATTAAAGAGCACACTTTGCTACAGTGTTGGTTCATACTTTTTAATTGTGAAGCCCTTACATTGATAACATACAATAATAGGTCCATTCTCCATGTTTTCCTGCTGGCTTATTACAAGGGGCCATTCAAACATGGTTTAATGGGATTTAGAGGAGGTAGCAAACAAAACAGAACATTTACAGTAGTCACTGAGTTTCACCAATAAAATCTATTTTTTGAGAAAAGTGCCCGAGGCGTGCTGCGTCCTGTATCACATACTGTACTGGAGTGTTATATCTCCCCCTGCGACATATCAATCAAATGACCACATACTATAAATTGTTCTCTCTTCCAAGCAGACATCGACACTCTTCTTGCCATGTAAAGTTGCTATAAAGAATCTTAATATTGCCAAGTTTACATATTTAGTACTGCAGCAGGTACTATAGTATACATATCTAATAAATTTAAAATGCAAATGTTAAACTAAATATGTTTTGCATGTCTAAAATAAACATGTATTTATCACTAAGTGTACAATCATGCAGAATGAAACAATTCAAATTTAGTATTCTTTGCTAGTATCCAATAAAAATTATCTGTTGTGTCTAATAACTACATTGACCACTGACAACATTTAATTTCCTCATTCAAATGACATTAGGATGCATTTCTAACTGGATTGTAATTCATGCGATGTCTGTTTGATGTTTTCTTGGCACATGTTTAAATTTTGTTAATTAGAAAAATAGGCAACAGCTGACAGGCATCATGTAATGATGAGCTATTTTGTTATGGACATTTAGAAAAATTTGATGCAGATGAAAAAAAAAAAACATTTGTTGACTTTAAAAGACCTTCAGACCGTATCAGTTTTTTGTTTGAGTGATGTGGAGCCACAAAGCCAAACTAAGTTAAAGAGCTATTTAATGCTAATGTGATGATAAATCATTAAATTCAAAGGAAACACATTCTAATTTCAGTGAATTTACCTTTCTTTAAAGTGTAATTAACCAGGAAGGTGCTTTTCCCATTAGTGTTATTTTTCATTTGATCCCAACTCTTAAAATATTTATACATAACTATCGTTAAAGTGATACGCCATGATCCAGAAACATTTAAATTGTAAAGGCTGAAAAAGCTTTGTAGCTTCTATTCAGGCAGAAAAAGCAGAAGATAAGCAAGAATATTACCATCTTTGTATTGCTCCCATTTGGTGCTATTTGACGTCTTCCACCTATAAAATTCTCCAGTTTGAGAATTCACGTTTTGATTCAAAATAGTCACTTTAAAAACAGTAACCTTGCAGTTAAATGGGACATCACTAAAATGGGATGAAAATGTTTGCAAGGCACATTTGTTGTGGCTCCCTAAGAAAAGCGAGATGCTAATCACAATCTCATTTCAGTTTATCAGTGCCACTCCACTGCAACAGCTATTATATCAAAAATGACTAATTAGTGGGAACAAGAACTGAGTAATTCCCAGATACAGCGTGTCCAAATTATTATTTTTACTGTTTGGTAAAAATACACAAATTGCAATGGGCAGCGGAGAATATTGTGAGAATTTTAGAGTGCAATTGAGAGGTAATTCTTTTCTTATATAATCTACAACAGACTGCTAATGGAATTTGCTGACATTTTGAAAGTAGAACACACAAATTCTGCCTTTGGCAGAACAGAGAAACTTCTTACAATTAAGAAATAGAAGAAACGATATGCCAGCCATTTATTAAATGACCATGAAAGAAGTTTACATAAGTTGTTTTGTCATATGAGCTAATCACAGCTGCATGGTGTATAACAGTGTTAGGCTGAGGAAACAGTAGGCATGTTCTTCTACTGTACTGTATATGACCTGCTTCAAATGTAGCTATAAAAGTTTTCAGTTATGCATTACACTAGAAAACACATTAGCACAGAGGCACTTGAGAATAAAGTTTAGTTTGTTTACTTCTCTGTGCAGGGTGTTTAAAGTATTGTATATCCAACATTTTCAACAGAAAGATGTATTTTATGAGACTAAAGGGAGTGACGCCAGGTGCTACATTGGCAAACTACTGTGGTCCAGCAATCTTTTCTGAAACTAAGAGAGAATTAAATTAATAATTAATGCTGTCAATGTTACTGGGCTCTAAAGACTGAAAACTTTATTGTAAGCTATTATTTCTTTATGACATGCTCTTTATAGCATCAGTATACAAACATATCAATGTGGGTAACTTAACAGGTTCCCATCATTCATTTTGTAAACTTAAATATGAACATGCTTTAAATATTACGAATGAAGGTGAGTAGGCATAATTGTCTTATGCTGTAAGAAGTTGGAACCTCCCAATTATATAATTTCTTACATATTTAAAGTTCAGTCAGTAATGGCTTAATAACTCATAAAATCCTAAAAAAATACTGAGATATAAATATATGATGCAGTTATTTTGGGTTTGTTATTTTCAGGATAATTTCCCAGCCAGCAACTCCGAGAGACTTCTTGACTTAAAATCAACAGTTGACCTGCTAACCAGTATCACCTTTTTCAGAATGAAGGTAGGATGATGTTTATCCCTTTTACCCACACAGCCAGCACCATTCATTTATTTTCTGATAAGACCTTGTGCAATATGTTATTATTGATGCCTGCTGATTAGAGGTATTTGTTATACTGTACCTCATTCATTCCAACTCTTTCCTTAGGAACCATAGGAACTGATTAAACTATGGGACTAGATTACCCAAATGTTTGGTATAAAGTTTTAGAATTTTTTATTATAGATTAACCTTCCAGTCAAAAATGTCAAGCATTAAGTAGAATTTCATATTCACATTGTTCCTGTTGTGTTTCAGGGTTTGATAGGAATCAATATTGTAGTGAACATATTGTACAGATAAGGCATCCAACTATACCTGTATAAAAGGTTAATAACAACAGGCCTAGTTCCTTTATATACTGTAGGAGAATTATTGACATTTTTTGCCTTCAGAGTGGCACGAAACATTATTTAAAGTTCTGGGTCTTTCTTTTATTCTTACTCTGTTTAAATATTTGCATCTCTTCAAGAAATTTGAACCTTTTCTAATTTCTGTATTTTCACTGAATTGCTGTGTCAATCTCTTTACACTCCTTCTTGTAAACTGCCACCTCACTACAAAGCTGTTAAAGTTAATGACAATAACTGGAAATCTGAATCCTTGGGTTGGGTGACATGAACTTTGGGTTGTTCATCTCCAGAAAGAACACTCTACGAAAATAGTTTCACAGAGCTCTCATAGTGTCACTTCTTTGACATTTAGAGTTGGTTAATTGTTTTGTGTATTTTACCCAGTGGTGCTACCAAATAGCGATGTCAAAAGGTTTCTGTAAGGCAATTAATGAAATGAGATGCTCCAAAATACCTGTTTCGCTGTCTATTATAATAGTGTGTCACAATAATTAAATGGTACAAAAAAAGCATTAGTTAACAAGCGATTGTAATGAAATGCAGGTCATAAAAAATAAATGGGCGACAGCTGCCTTCTAAGAAGGCAAATCAATAACCTTGGCAATTGTTTCCATCAATTCCTGAGCAGTTCAGCATCCACACTTCTCAAAACATTATACATGACCATACAGTAAATTCTACACCTCTTTTTTTAATTGGGAAATATTATGATCTTTGTGAAGCCTGTACCAAAGATAAGAGACTACATTTAACTACAAGAATGTAGTCCAGGTTCATTAATAAGGCAATCCTGCTATTTTATAGGCTTTGTGTGCTTTCATTTACAATTGGATCCTTTAATACCAATCAATTCATGTCACAAAATTAATTCATCTTCAATTTGTTAAATAAACTGATTTTTTTTCTACCATCAAATTCAATGCTCTTTAAATTAAGCACTGCATTAAAATTATTCAGTTAACCTATGTCTATTTCAGTGCCTTATATATTATAAAAAATGATTTTACCAGTAATAATAAAACCAGCCATTCACATATCCTACATAGATTACATTTGTAGTATTTGGTTAAGAGTTACTCTTACTAGATATTCTAGATATTATGTTTTTTTTAACTCATCCGTAGATACATAATTTCACATAAATTAACTAATCTCCGTTTATGCATGACACAATTGTACTACACTATATGTAAAGATTTGCATTTGAAAGAGATATTTATTAGATCTTTGTTACCCTGTCTCTATGCCACTTCTTTCTGAGATGCAGTTTATTCATCATATACAGTACAGTATCTCCTTGCATAAAACAGCTTTGCACTGTCAAGAATTGAGTTACTGTACCAGCTATGTGAACAAGTTTACTCATTGCAGAAATTCAAGATAATGCTCACCAGTCTAACTTAGTATTAGATTAAAAGTTACACTTCTTCAGTTGTCTTTATAGCCTAACACTAAACATTATTTACACTTTCTTTTATAATTCAGTGCTGCTTCAATAGTGCAAGCTGAACTATGTGAAAACACAGTCAGCAGTCATAAATATTCTGTACATGGCTGAATATTAAGTTGAAAATATTTTTTATTCTAACCACACTGTTAAGGTACCGTATATTTAAAAGGTGTCTGAGTCCTTTATTTTGTCAGATGTTTTGAACGACTTCCTCTCCTGAATACTAAATTCTATAATCCAAACTCCCAAAAGTACACATATGTTCAAAGGTTATGAATTATGTAACAGTGTACCTGTAAATTACATATATTTCCTTCTCCACGTGTTCCTGCAATTCATGAAATGTGATGCATGAGTTCTAGTCCCTTTACACTGTGGCACTGACGATTTAAATAAAACCAGGACTGAGGAATTAGATGTTAAGAGCAAGAACGCAACAGAACAGATATTTTTCCAGTGGAACTAATCTTTTGCAAATTTATGAGAAAAAAAAGAGTTTTGGCTGCAAGCTTCCAATGAACGAAGGGATAACATATAATAGGAAAGGTTTACCATCCCCCTGTCTTCTGAACATTCTAGTAAAGGCAGAGTCAAAACCGTGTCCAGTTATCACATTTTTATCCATCACATCTTGCTTAGTTTCCACATCCCATATATATTGTTACAAATGGGGGTTATGAAAATTGTGACCCCCGTTTGTAATATATAAGACCATAGACAAGGTTACAAATGATAGGAGGCCATTTGCTAATTCACAGCTAATTAATCATTGGATCTCATCCTGACATTTCTTGACAAAAGCCAGGGCACTTTCTTCAGCAACATGACTGGGTAACTTGTTCCTGACTCTCACAACTCAAGGAGCCATGCTGACATTTGCCTTTATACTGTAGCTTTGGGATAGCCTCCGCATCATTTCTCTAGTCTAAAGTTCTTTATGACTTGAAAGTTTGCGTGTGTTTTTTTAATCTGTGGCATGGAGAATTATGCACCCATTTAATGATGATCAATATTTCATTCAGTTGTTTTATTTGACTTGCAGGTTCAGGAGTTGCAGAGCCCACCACGAGCAAGCATGGTTGTGAAAGACTGTGTGAGAGCCTGTCTGGACTCCACGTACAAGTACATCTTTGACAACTGCCATGACCTCTACAACCAACTTCTGGATCAGGTACAGACATGCCCTGCAGAGATCAGTCATACAGTATATCAAAATACTGTAGTTTACTGTCATTAAAACAATCTAACTTACAGTATTTATGATGATTTTCTGGTGGTGCTTGGTCAATGTTACCCATACATCATGATTCCTAATGACTACAACTACTCAATTCATTCAGTTTCTCATTTAAATGGTGGGAAAGATTAGATTAATTTCTATAAAAATCTGGTGATTGAAAAACACTCTGCAATGCTCCATATAGAGAATTCTTAGAGAATGCAGGAATATGTAATGAAATAGAAACACTTTAGTCATGTAGCAGTACTATTGTCAAAATATTGATAGTAAAGAGTCCAATTTCACGCCTGGCATATTTCTACTTTAATTAGTGTCTTCACTTTTAAGCTATTTAACCACACAGGCACAAACACTGAGGCATATCTTTGCCATTTTATCCTGCCACGGGTGTTGTTCAGAGGTTGTCTGGCTACATTGTGACACTAATACTTAAACAATCACTAACAGATTTGAAAACTATCTGTTATAAGGCTTTTGAGCCTGTTTGTAGAAATTTAATGTTGTATCTTCTGGAGTATGATTCTTACATTAAGTGGACCCATTAACTATACACAAACAGTTGGAATCATTTTCTGCACAATCACTTTGCAGTCAGTGCAAAAATATTTTCATATTGATTGATAGAATTTAATTTCCACATAGTAAGTGCAATAATATGAGTATATTTGTGGGTATACCGTTAAATGAATTCACTCAAAACAGATTGAATGTTTTGTGTGTGAGAGGATTGTATAATAATGTATAAAAATTGTACAGTTATAGTAGATGTTTGTTTCTCCTATGGAAAGAAGTGGTTTTGTTGGTTTTGCTCTGAAATGTATACTGTTGAGAAGTCTCAGTTTAGGGAGCTGGGCTGCACATATTCATTAAAACAGATGGCTTTAGCCATCAGCTGCTACATTTAACCGAATAGAATATGTAATGAGATGTACGGCTTCTAAAAATGCATACAAAGCCATAGAAAATAATCTGCTTATTAACAGAGTTAACATGTTCTTTTATATTAACATAATTTTAACAAGTAATTATTTGTCACAAAAGCAAAACTGGTTATAGGAATAGTTGTGCAGATTTCTTTCTTTCATTAAAGAGCTATAGAACGGATAAATTTAAAGTCTACGTAATGTACAAATAAATACTAATTTAGTTGGTGAGGTTTTCATCAAAAGCAATTTATATATTTATATTTGCACCCATTTATACAACTGGGTATTTTACTGGAGCAGTTTGTTGTAGTGCTACCAAACTCCTGAAAATTACTATCCATATGGTCTCCTCTTACTAGTATGGTCGTTAGGCTTGAAAAAATTGAACAGAACAGGACTCACTGAAGTTACCCTCTGTCTCAAAACAATCAACATTAAATCTTTGCTAAATTGATTATTTTCCTTGAAGTTTATTAACAATTAAATTATACTTGTTTAAGTTAGTTTTACACTTTTATAACTAAACATGTCTTTCTGTTATCTTCTGACCTTGATTCCTCCTATTGATCACACTGACCTGCAGTATTTGATCAGAACATTGAGTGAAAATCTATAATGTTAAAGATTACTCTTCTATTAGCAGATGATAAAATATAACTTTTAAACACAGCAACCAAATATAAATAATTTAGGTGTTGTTAAGCTTATGAATTTTGGAAAACTGATACTATCACTATCACGGCACATACTTTTCTAACAACAAAGGTTTAAAAGGCAGAGATCTCAGTTACAGTCCAGTCTGAACTTTAAGTCTGATCTCCAGTCAGAACTTTCAGACTCCAGTCTGAAACTCTGAAACTCTTTTAGTTTCAGACTTTATCCCAAATCCTCTGCTGTGTGCAGTTGAAGCCTTCTTAGTTTCCGGAGGTGCTTTATTGGTATCATATTTATATCAGAAAGCTTTATGCATGTACAGAACTCCCAATTCACAATCACTTTGATATATGTACAGTGTCATTGCTCTTTAGCTAGATTTAGCTGGCATCCTACCCATGACTGCCTTTATCAAACAGCTGTTGTTTAAAACTCGCAAAATTCTCGTACTGCTGAGCTGTTTCCACATTTGCCATAATTACAATGAAAATGCAGTAAGCATTCACAAAATAGCTACTGTAGTGGTGCTGAATTATTTGGGTTCATTATCAGAAGCTGTATTTTGTATTGTTTATACTCACAAAAACCACAGGCCAGAGCCAAGATTTGGAAATATTTTCAGAAATCTCGTTGTGGCGCACTCTGGCGAAAGTCCTGCTTTTCTTTTTATTATCTCACGTGCTTCCGGGGGAAAAAATGATCGATGAGAGTTCCAAACCACAGTGGGCAACACTGATGAGTAAAGTTCTTCTGTTTCACACTTCACTTCCAGCAGAATATGATATGTGGAGTAGAAAACCAGACATTGGACAGACACGCCATGATTTATTTTCACCTGTCTCAGCTGTCTGAAAGATTGTGTTATTATTGTAAATTCTGAATTGTACTTGAATTGGTGAAAGCATTATTCCAATGTGTTTAATTCTTCTCAGGTGCAATACTGTATGTGATGGCAGCACTATTGCAGAGTGTTTGGTCGCACGATTGAGTAGTAATTCACACGTGTAGTAGACAAGAGTAATTAATTCAGCTTTGTTCACCCGCCACACACGACAACACTTAATAACATATTAAATTGTATTATTCCATAGTCTGCAATGGTGAAAAATAAAATTCCCATGGTAGATGTGTCAATAATTACAATGGTGAGATTTGCTTGTTTAAATGCCTTTCAGTTTTACTGATGCTATCATGCCACCTTCCTAGCTGAAATACATCTCATGAAATATGATGGAGTAGATTTGCATGTTTAAACAAGAGGATGCCGAAAGAGGGTGAGAAAATCTCCTTAATGATGAAAAGCACCAGGTCCAAAGTATTAAACAGATTCCTGTGAAATGGGTTCAAATGAGGAAAAGATTACATTGGGTGCCTTATGTTCCCAAAAGTGAATAGAGGTAACCTAATGAATATCACTTCAAACTGACTGAGCATAAAAAGGAAAAACCATATGTAACTTTATGCTGAGTTCATTAAGAATCTGGCCAAATAGGTGCTTGTGGGGACTGTTTTAAAATATGCATTTGAATATTATAGTGTGAAAGTGTCTCCTAACATCACTGTCAACTGTTCTGTGTGTAATGTGCTTGTGATGGAACTAAAATAGTAGTGAAGTGCTATTTTTAAACATGTCGGAAACAGATGTGCTTCACATACTTCTTAGAGTGTGTCAGGCATCATCTGCAGTGCTTGACAAAGCGTGAGCAGAGAATAAGATTATTGAGTTTTCAGAGCACATAAGAAATGATGTCTTCAAAAAAATGGCACTTCACATTGCATCTACAAATCTACACCTATCCTAGGGAGAAAATAGTCCATATTTAAAATGTGACCTGAAATACAGCATTTAACCCACATACAGTATACAAAATAATGTATCAAACACATAAAAGTCACATAATCAACCTGATTTCTAAGAGTCCACTGAGTTATTAGTAATTTTCCCAGCACAAAATGTGGACACAGGTGTTGATTATGAAGATATTCAGCACAGTTCAAAAACAGTAGTCTATTTAATCAATGATCAAACAGCATTCAGGAAGGCGAAATAGTCCTCAGATGACTCTCTAAAGGACCCTAAGCTTGTAACTCATCCTGTGACTGTTCTAAGTATCATTCACCATCTGTAATGTGAATAGCTAAAGAAAGAAATATATTATTGACCTCCCAGTGCACTATTTCTGCCATAAATGCTAAAATCAATAATGTAGGAGGAGTAAATGGGAGATTTTTCAGAATGAAGGCTGTAATGAATACCCTTGAAGATCCCAAAAGAAATAATTTAGATACTTTTCCATTATTATTGTACACAAATTAAATTAGATGTTGCAGGGGATGGTGGATATGAGCATTTACCTTTTTAATATACTGTAAATACAATGGCAGGTTATTTCTATTTGTGTTTAAATATTTTTTAATAATTAAAAATAATACAATTCCAAATGCATATTATTTACTGTTATTAAACACCCATGTACAGTGTGTGTGGAGCGGTAATTTAAGCACATGCAGTATGAAGAGCTTAAAGATATTTTCAGGGAAATACAGGACTGTATATCAACTATAGCTCATGAAAATAACAGCGCTTAAGGCTCCCAACATCACTTGTAAAAACTGGGATCAGCACGTTTTAGATCACGGTTGTCCTCAGAAGAGACCATTCTCATTAAAAGAGTAAATATACAGTATCAAAAGGAAGCAACGCACTTTCTGAATAAAAAGAAATCAATATAGTTCTTGTTCAGTATAAGTGCCAAAGCATGTCAAGCAGCAGGAGACTCCAGAAATTGTGTATGTGCACAGTATGCTGTAAGCGATCAGCTCGTACATGGGCAACTGAACAAGTAGGAATCACAATCACTAGGAAAATATGGACTGCAAGCTCTCTAATTCTGGTCTTAGGACTTGGTACTGATACACTTCAATTGATAATAAATAATAGCCTTAAACGATTTATAGTGACTATGAGATCTCATTAATTACATAGATATTTATGGGGTTTTGAGTCCTGTTTATAAATAAATGGCTCATACAAAAATTCTCTAAGGCCTCATCTATCTCAGTTTTCAAATGCATTTGCTTTTTATTGAGTCTGAGTGAAGAAAAAGGAGCAACAATACCATGACCTCCAGGCCATTTGTACTGTTTGCTGTCTAGATATTGCAGCATCAAATAATGTAAGAACCGAGGAAAATAAAGATTTGTGTTTGTGTTTAGTGGTTTTCCATTCAGTCTATTCTCTTTCTGTTTCTGGTAACTAGAAATGTATAAGGGCCAGAGGCCATCTTTTTCATTGCTCCTGTACCTATAGTCATCATGTGAAAGCCAAATTTACTTCTAAGTTTGGGAACTGTTTTCAAGCGGCACTAAAATATATATTCTGTAGTAAGTGATGAAAGCAGTAAAAAATCTGACGTGCTTAATAAGGCTCTGAACCTAATCTCCATGTGTCATAGTTAACATGATAAATATCACGACTCTAGAAACATGTAACCTGAATTGTTAGCTCAATTGAAGTGTGCTTTTTTTCAAGATTGAGTTAGAAGAGGCTACTTACTGTCGTTGTCTTAAAAGACTTAAGTGTTTGTGATGGGACATTATTTCCTGCTTCTAGACAACATGGTGAAACAAAAAAAGGCAAACAAAATGTTAGTTAATAATATAAAATGTTAATATATACTTATATTTAAAGTATAATGAATTAGTCTCCACGTTATAGAAAATAATTTTCTGGAAACAGAGAAGAGCAACCAGATAACAGTACATACCAGGGCTTAAGGATGTCCTACACTGGCAGACTGAAGGAAATTAACCTTTTTAGTCTTAAGAACAGAAGATTGTGAGGGGAATTGACTAAAAGTATTCAAAAACCTCTAAGGCATTAATAAAGTCAACCCAGCAGAACACAGTAGAGCCCAAACCAGAAGACACAAGGGGAAACTCCATTGTGGAATTGCATTTACTGTAAATCCAAGAACAGGAGGCACTTCTTTACGCAAAGGGTTGTGGGGATATAGAACAAGCCATTCAGCCATGTTGAAACTGATACACTGGCATCTTTTAAAAAAATGACTGGATGAGATATTTGGACCAATTAGCTAGTAATTACCAAAAGGCTTCCTTATTGTGTTCTTAAAGTTAAAAAATAACACCATAAAATAATATTTGTAGAATACATACAGCATTAATATCCAATGACTTCTCTTTGTACATTGTATTGCATTGTTAAGTGTTTCCGCAACAGTATTGGCTCAATTGACACTAAAGGGCTTGACACAGTTGTGACACACCTTAGTTCACAAGTTCACAAACTGGATTCTACTCATTTCATGAATTGGAAAATGTCTATAGTGAAGGGTACAGCACAACAATATTATTCGCGCCATGTTTTAATTGTTAAATAAAACACATACTGTATATGGAGCAGTCAGAATTACACTGGGTGTAAGAACATAGACATGCAGGAGATCATCAAAAAAATAGAAGTGGGTGGTACAACACTAACCAGTGACTCAAAAAATCAGTCTCAATTAGGGAAAAAAATAGTGTTTATCATGAAGAGATCCAGTGATGTTACTTAGTATGTGTGTGTACAGTGTGTCAACAGAATGTACAGTAAATGTTACTTACAGCAGGATTAAGGACCAGAAGACAGTGCAGAATGCAGCATCCTAGCATTTTACCCATACTGTACATCCTTCATCTGCCTCCTGCTTTTCAAGAGACTAAGAGTCTCCAACACTGTCCTTTTTGTTAAAATGCTGGTTATTAGCAGAAATATGCATATAAACCCAGTGTCGTGAATCTTTCCTTATTGAAATAAATCAATGTTAACAACAAAGAAGTGCCATTTACTTAGCTTGTGAAAATTATACTTAACATAAATGTATATTTAAATGCAAATGATGTGGTGCCAAAACAGGATAATCACAACTCTTATGGATCTTAAAGCAGCCCACATCTAGCCTGAATAGGTTAGTTAATTGGGTGGTCATATGAACTATCACTGATCACTGCATATTTGACTGTCTGCATTAAAAAAGGGAATGGATTGAAATAGCCTAGGATCTGAACAACATGCAGTAAGCAGCTTTTGTGTGCAATATAGTAATGCAGTGACAGCACATAAACTGTAAATATATAGACTAAGATATGTAGATGAAATTTGTTTTCACAGGTGCTTGCTTCAGAGAATCTAGACTTCCTTGTTCTGTGTCCGTTTAATGAGAGACCCACAAGGGCCTTGCTCATTTTAACTGTAGATGAAGATGTCATGCTATGTTATGAATTAAACATGAATAGTCTGTCTGCTAAAAACCCAACTGTCGGCTCTTCATTTATGGTACATGATTTATATCTGCTACAGATTGTGAAGCAGTATCCTTCACACTGTAGATGAAATACAAGAAAAGCTCTTTAAAACATTTGCTACTGACTTCTTTGTGTGCAGGCTAAAAAGCAGGACGTCCCACGTGAGGAACAAGGTCCCTCGATCAAGAATTTGGATTTTTGGCCAAAACTCATTACACTGATGGTGTCAGTGATAGATGAAGACCGGACAGCATATACCCCTGTTCTCAACCAGTAAGTTCTAATCTAAATTGAATCAAACCAATGAGTAAAAAATGCAGCTCTTGTTTTAAAACATTTCTTATTGTACCATTATTGCTTGTGACCTGAGGGTTAGGTTGCTGTTGATGCTAGAGTTACTAGTATCCAGGGCCAGTTTAAGAATTAAGGCTTTAAAAAGAATCAGATGGCTAAAACAATTTTAAGTGAATTAAAGTTAGTATTACAGTTCATTACAGAAATAGAATTAAGGAGTGAGTGTTTTCTTTACCCTCAGGAAACCCACAGCCCTTCTCTGTGGTTCAATCAAATTCGAAATAATGTGAAGAGATCATTGAATCAAAAAGGATACAGTAGGTTATTTAACTTTAATATTTGGTCTTTACTCACCTAGCTGAGGATATGGCAACCAGACAGTAAGGTCAAGGTGAAAAAGCCACCTCACTTGTGAGGAATGGACCAGAGAGGCTGCTGCAAGGGTGAGAATGAGGTGAAAGGAAGGGCTGTGAGAAAAGAAACACATGCATAAGTGTTTATATTTTTTTGTGTGACTCTACATTTTTCATATTAAACCAATTAAGGTTTAAGCTAAACCGTATACAAGTCCTCCCAGAAATGATTGATGCCACAGGTGGAGAAGGGGTGATGACTTGTGCATTCTGAAAGGATTGGGGATAAGCTGTTGGTAATCATTTCAATAGATTACTCTGAGAGCACGTTGCTATAGGAACAAGACGGGTAATTCCAATATTAGGGAGTTTACACTTTGAATATTTAAAGGGAAATGAAAATGGTTTATTGATGACTTTATGTGGTATTCAGAAAGCTAAGATAATTAGAGGACTGGCTTCAAATACTGAGAAATTTAAAATCCCGGTGGCCTAAAAGCTGCAAAATAGCTTTACTTTACGTAACATATTAAATATGACCATTGTACAACTCAACCACTGTAATTACTATTTGAGAAATGCAACTCCAAAGCTCTGCAGCATGGATTGAAAATTATCATTCTTGTTCTGTTGCTCTGTATTTAAGTTTCTATTTGATGGCACTGCTAAGTTCAATCAATGGTTGCAAAAAGTCATTAAGCTTTTGTCTGTAATTTATAGTAACCTCACTAGGTAACTTTTGAATTTTTGAAGAAACATATGCCTGATGGAAAAAAAAACACTGTATTAGTATTAACGAGGAATGCTGTGTAAACTCAAGTCATAAAGCCCTTTTCCTCATTGTTTATTTCCTTAGACAAACATAAACAGTTTTACAGGTTTTACTGTAGTTTTCTTAGTATAGTATAGTTTTCTTTTATTTTCAAGTGCAGAGGCTTTACAAAACCATCTGCAAAAGCTCTCTTGGGATATTGTGTTGAACATTATCACTGCCTGTTCCATTGACAGGTTCCCTCAGGAACTGAATATGGGCAAGGTGAGTGCAGAGATCATGTGGAACCTATTTGCCCAGGATATGAAGTATGCAATGGAGGGTAAGTAATGCTGGGTGCTTCTTTAATTATTTTATATAAACACAATTACAGTATTCCTTTGTGTGTGTGCTGTCTGATAACTGAGAATTCAGCATGCTATCACGTGTTACATTAATTAGATAATTTACTGCCTTGTCACAACCATAGCAGGGCTAAAGCTCTTTGGATTACAGCATAATGTGTTTCTCTCATTGATTACCTACCAGAGAAGAGAACGTGTTGGTTTTATCGAGATTAAGCATTGATCCCACAAACAATGTCTTAATGCTGTGCAGTCCAGAGATGGCAAAGAACTGCTTCTGTTCACAGAAAAGGCAAGCACAGCCAGAGCATATTTCAACTCTGTGGCACAGTTAATCTCAAAGCCATTTTCTCTCATAAATAAATTCACATTTCAAGATGGTTTGATGGCAAGATGGCAAACATAACTGTGACAATCAAAACAAAAAGGATGCTCTTCAAAATGTATGGCAATATGCATAGGGCTATTTTTATTATATGATTACATTTATTTTTTCATTACATCTATTTTTTCACTACATTTGTCATTTTTAAGGCCAGGGAAAGTCAAATTAAATATGATTAAATTAATCAATGTTAAGTAGTATTTATTAATATTGTGAAATGTGAAATGTTATTTCAGTTCAGTTAAACAAAGGCAATAGTACATTAAAAGTTGTGACTTCTCAACTGATATTTTAGGAGCAAGGTTTTGATCAGGGAGCAAGATGTTATAAATTGTTATTTATAAAAAAACAACTCATTTAAAATGCTGAATTATTTTTGTTTATTTCATTTTCTCATTATTGGTCTGGTTTTTATAGTATCAGTCTGGAGGGAAACAGGGGGCTTTTATTTACACAGGCCTATGCAGTGTATGGGATATATTTACCAAGTCTGGAAATGTATAAATGTTTCCTTGGAAACCAGCCGCTGCTGTTCGATAAATCCATATGCTTCATGATCTAACACACACTTGCTGTTTCTCCTGCCTACAGTAACAGGACACATGTAGTGGTTCTGTTGTCCTTCCCATGATGCACTGGCTCATGCAGTGTGACATGCATATTCTTGTAGGTCTGGTGTGGGCACAGCTTTGCTCTGCCACAGCCCCCTCAGCAGCAACATCTTGTTTATCATCTCTAAAGCTGTCTGTGAAGACGTTTTTCTTATGAATTTATATATACAGTCCACTGCTGTGGGAGCCTGATTCCATAAATAGTGACAACATTAAGGTACCATTTTTCCATACACTGAAAAATAATGTTTAGGAAAAAAATACAAAAATGTGCTATATTTTTAAATACATTTTATTTATAAATACATTATCACCACAGCAATAAATTGTGTACAATGTTAAAAATATGTGCAAAGAATGTGTGTGGTTTTTTTGTGGTTCCAACTGGTTTCCCTTTTTTTTGTTGTTTACTGGAGAAGACTGGTATGCTATAACTTCTGTTCTGTTATGCACTCCCTGTCCTAAACTATTTTTACAGAAAGAAAACAATATCACATACTGTATTTGAGAGAGTAAAACCACATTTTTAGTGATACAGGCCATCCATACAGCTTGTTAAATAGGTATGGCTTGTGTCCTTTTAAAAAAAATGAAATGAGATATGAACCTGTAGCCCTGTAGCCCAGCTTGAAGTTTGTTTTGATAACATTTTTATTTTGAGTATTCTTTGTATGACCACAATGAAAGTACAAGTCATGATTACAAACTGGAAGAAAAGCTGTAAAATAGTGACAATAAGGACATTTAAAATAAAATTATTTTTTCTACTTTTCTCAAAATACTTTTGTTTATTACATTATGAGAGCAGACCTGAGGAGTCTATGATTAACTGGCAGTGCTGAATGGACTTGTAATTGCATACCACTAGAAGGGTTTTTCTGTTGTTTCTTTATTTGACTTATTGGAATGGTACACTGCTACACATCAGACGCAGCATGTGAGAAGAAAGAAATATATAGCTACAGGTGAAAAAAGAAACCAATAAAATATAAAAAGCAGAGATGAACAGTGTAAATTTCATATGAGAGAGACGTCTTTTTGTTTTCCTTTAAAGAGAATTTAATTTGTAGTTACAGTAGTGACAATTCCAAAGGAATTCTCCTTTGATCAGGAAAAGTTAAACTGTGCAGAGAGGGGTGTTTAGACTGATACAGATAAAACTCTCCATTCATCAATTGTGCTATGCTAATACTCAAACAGGTTTACATCAGTACAGTACTGTATGTCAAAGACAGGAGCTGCCAGATTCATTCATGTTAGACCTGCACCCATTTATCTGTTTTTATGAAAGCTTACACTTCAGCTGTACTTATCTCAAGTTGATAGTGCTTATACAATATGTTGTGACTAAATAAAATGAGACTGCTTTTGCTGACAGTACTCCACACAAAAACCAGAGAAAACCACATTAATTTGAGTGTCCGAATCATCGATTCGATGTAAGAGAATACACAAGAGAGTTTTAGCAAACTACAACAGTTGCATCTTATGTGTTTGAGTGATTAGAAAGACCTTCGCTTCATATAACAGATAATTTCTCTGTGGAGATAATTGGTTGCTTTAAGGTTTTTAAGCTAGAACAGAGCTAGGAGATGTACTCTTCTGTGGCATGGGCTCTCAGTGACTGTGAACTGAAGAAAAATATAGAAGGCCTGATTCCCATACCAGTTACCAGTTATTGTTCATTGACTAAAATGAATGTTCTACAATGCATTGTGGGAACTAGGGACAAATTGTAGCAAATATATTTGTACAGTACAGAAAGCACAACAATTTACCCCTGTGATACAGTATATGTAAACAAGTGGACATTTAGACAGTGTTGTCATATTTGTGAGGAAACCACAATTTCTGAAATGTATCTTTTTAATTCTGACCATTAATTTTATTTCTCCTCACAACATAACATATAACAAATGTTTCTTAGTTTTAAACAATTCTTTCATTTTCAATTATTTAAACCCCAACAACATGGTTGTGGAAACAGACACAATTACAGAATAAAGCAGACCCCATACACATCTGGAGATACACAACGTGTATTACAGTATTTTAGTTTTAAAAAAAAAGAGAAACAAAAGCTTAAACAAGAGAAAGAAAATATCACATCATCTGAGCCACCATATCAGTATCAATGGCCAAGGCTTCCAACAAAGTAATAGCTGGGTGGTGTCGAGGTGCAAACCCTTATAGAAGCACAGTATCATGTAAATATCTTTATATATTTATATTTCCAAATAAATATATTTTATATATTTCCAAAATTGATTAATTTGGGGGAAATCTCAAAACAAGAGAAAAAAAGTGCCCATTACCCCAAACTAACAGAGTTGACAATAGTATCTGTTGATAACACCAAGCTATTGTAAGTAGAGGTGTGTAGGACCTATGAATAACCTAAAAATGGAAAAGTTCTTTAAAGCTAAGTTTGCTTAATGCAAATGTACTGTATTGCCAGTTCACCTCCAGGTCTGATGTCACTATCCACTTAATCAGCTTTCCATTCCAAATTTATACAACAAACTAGATTATTATTGGGAGAAATAAATATAATGTAAATTGCTGAATCAAACCCTGTTTTAATGGAGGTAATATGAAATTCATCCAATAGCAGGTGAAACATTAAAGATGAATCCAAATGGAAACCAGAAGCACAAAGGCATGAACAAAACCTGGGGTGTAAAAAAGAGAAATCTGGAAGAGAATATTGACCTTCTACTGAACAGGGGCCAGAATAATCAATTATGTCCTTCAGAAAAAAAATACCATGGGTAGACTAAGAAGATTACACAAGGGGACAAGAACCAGTCAATAAAGAGTAATTGTGCTGTATTGGTAACAGAGCATGTCAAATGTTAACTACTTGGGAAAAAAATAAATTTGTTACACTTAGCATTTCAATAATAATTTGGGAGAAATTAGGAGAATTTAGGAGAATAGGAGAAAGAAAGATGTTTTAATCGATTAGAATGCACTATAGTATCCTCTATGGGTTTCCAGCAGATGTGAGTGAACTGGACTAAATCACAGCTTAACTGTTTTGGGTTGAAAGGTCAAAAAATAAAGCAAAAGGCTTGGTAACCATGTTCTTCAGCCTTTTTGGGTTACTGAAGAGTAATTAATTGGATTTGGGGAATTGTTGCCACTCCAAATATAGACCATAGCGAATTAAAGATTCACAATGACTATGGAAAGAAGTGACAGTGGTACCATATCATTAACACATGGTAAATCATTTTCTTTCTGAAACATTTCCTTTCTAATCTTAGGTAATGAGTTTAATATAACAAGTATACTTTATACTTGCTTAATATATACATTAAGTATAATTCAAATGCTTCAAATAACACTGAAGACATCAGCAGTGCTGAAAATAGAAGACACTGAAGCTAAGGCTTATTGTGACTTCAGGATATGAAAACTGACTTACTGTAACGCATTTAATCCCTTAACCCAAAAAAAATACTCATGAATATGTCAGAAAGAGAGCTAGAAACATTTACAAAAAAAGAAAAATATGAGCAGCATACAGGCCGATATATTATTTGGAGTCCTGAATAGTAGTTACAGTATATAAATATAGTACCATACAGTAAAGTATCGCAATAGCTGTATACCTGTGTATGTGCACTGCTTTACCTAAAGATCAAATTCAGAAAATGAACATTAAAACTAAAATCCTGAAGCACTATCCATAAATAGCCCCACTATTCATTGAGAGCATACTCGCAGAAGGAGATAAATGGTCAGCTAGATCTACAACATGAAGCAGTCATTCAGATTGTCAGACTCAAGTCTCATATAGGAATTTATATGGCTTTTATGAATCCTTTGTATTTATGATGAATTAGATAAAGAATACAAGAAAAAAGACACCAAGTCAAACACTACCTGTAAATCTTTGTTAGAATTTAGTAATGATATTGAATGGTAACATTAGCACTCCATTGGATTCTTACCTTTTCTTAATTGTTTCTAATTT